AAAATCTTCAAAATTTTGATTTTATTCCATCAAACTTCTTAGGCATACTAATCCTTCTTCTTATTGTATTTATAGAAGCAAAACTTTCTGAATTTAGTTGTGAGATTGATTTACTTTCTTCCTTCAAATGTACAACTTCTTGATGTAGACTCTAGAGTTCTTTCATAGGCATAAGATTAGTATTTCTATGGTTGGCACTTGTAATGCATAAAATTTCAACCTTAAGAGTATTGACAAGTTCTTGAAAATTAATAATAGTTAAAAATCTATTCTTACTTCTGCCAACTGTAGCATCTATGATGTTTCTTTTCCTTTTAAATAACTTAACAAATCCACAAGTCAAATTAGAGGAGGATAGTCTGCAACCTCTAATATCATATTAAAATTTCTACAAAAAAGGATAATTTTCTCTCTTTAAAAAAAATATTAGGATTAAAAAACTAAATAATTTATTTAAAGATGGATAATTTGTAACCTTCAATATACAACAATAGAAGTGAGATAATTTGCTCACTTCTAAAACAAGACAAGAACAATGAGTTAGCACTCTTATCAAACTTTCAAGGACCTAAAGCTTTAAGAAAGAAATCCTCAATATATTCTTATGTCACTCAAAAGAACTAAAAAGTCATTCAAAGATGATATAATATTAAACTGAAATGGCTATTGTCAAAGACAAGAAGACTAAAAAGTCTTAAAACAAGACTAAAGACTAGAAAGGCATTGACAAGAGTAAAAAAGGCTTCACTCTTGCTTCCATATATATTCCTAATTAGGAGCTATATGGCAATATTCTATAGGACCTCCAAAACATGTTGACCTTGCAAAATACATATCTTAACTTGTAAGGTAAGTTTTTATATGTACACTACATAGTTAACTTATTCAGCAAGCTATCAATATATAGTTAAGTTATTGACTAAGTTTCTATTTTATTAATCAACTACAAATACATATAAAATCAAAGCAACATCTATAGAGCTTTTAAGAAGCTTCTTTAAAAAATATTATGAAATAAATTTATTTTTACTTATTTTTATTTAATCATATAAGTAAATATTAAAATAAATATGTATATCTATGGCAATTATCTAAACTTTTAGAATTAAAAATATATATTAAAAATAAAAAATAAATTAGATATATTATTTCTAAGCAAGAATAGAATAAGCAAGACTTTTAAAAGGACTCCTAACAATCTCTCATAAGAATGTATCAAGGACTTATTTTTGGAGATTTAAAAAAATATTAAATATATATATATATATATATATATATATATATATACTCACAGATTGGCGACCTATTTTGTTGGACTAGTGTGGACTGCGTAGGTTTCGATCCTGACAATTCCAAACCAAGCAAGTTATATCAATAGTATTGGGGAAACAAATTTTGGAGCACTGCAATTTTAATATGACAAAAGTAATGAGGGCAGCAAGGCAAAGTAGAGCAAAGGATGGTCTGTAGTAGATGAAGCAGTTGAACATTGATTTGAAATAATTGGAGTGATCTTGTCTGGGACATATATGTTGTTTGAGGTGGAATTTGTATTGACTAGGAAGTTAGGATTGTTGAGTGAAGTAGCAATTTTAGACCAAGGTTGCATGGAAGCTCGGATTATGATCTGATTTTATAAGGTGAGTGGAATATTCAAAGCAAAAAAAAATGAAGGTTATGGCATAAAGAAGTTTTTGGTTGTTGGATAATTAACATAAATAAATAAATAAATAAATATAATATAATATAGTATAATAAAAATAAATAAAATCTTATATAAATAAATAAATATAATATAATATAGTATAATATAAATAAATAAATAAATAAGTATAATAAAAATAATAATAAGTAAACAATGATTAAGAAAAAAAAGACATCTAACCTTATTTGAGTGAAGTTACTCCACCGAACTACCAAACGCAATTAAGGTGGGTTGATTTTGGTAATAAGATCTAAGATCTCTTAATATTATCTATATAGAGTTTTACAGCCACTACCAATTCTAAAATGACCATGGTCTTCAATATCAATGGATTTCATCACTCATCTACCACTATATCTATATTTGATACTATCTATGTTGTAGATTGACTTATAAAGTTGGCACATTTTGTTTCATATAAAAAGATAATTTCTTAAGAAGAAACAATAAGGCTCTTTTTTGATAATATATATTGATATTATGGCCTACTTAATGACATTATTTTTAATCAAAGACTTTAATTTATATCAAAGTTCTGAAAATCCTTTTTTAAAATATTGAAAGTGGATATCAAACTTTTTTTCTATCTTCCATCCTTAAATCAATGGTCAAACAAAACAAGTTAATTAAGTTTTAGAACATTATTTAGAATATACCATCAATTATCAACAAGATGATTGGACCTCGTATTTAACTTTAACAAAGTTTGTTTATAATAATATCTTTTATGCTTTCACTCAGCAAACACCATTTTATGCCAATTATAGATACCATTTAAAGCTTGATTTGTTAGGTACATCAAAAGATGAAAATCTAACAACTAAAGATCTTGCAAAATAATTGTCATAAATCTAAACAACTTTGAAGCTCTATTTACAAGTAGCTCAAGATTCTTACAAAGCATCTTCAAACAAATTTTTAAAAAATGCCCTATTTTTTAAGTTGGAGATAAAGTATGGCTTCTTTGACAAAATATCAAGACTAATTGATCTTGCAATAAATTGGACTATTGAAGATTAGAGCCATTTTGTATTTAAAAGCAAATTAATTCAATGGCTTATCAATTGGAACTACCCACATCCACAAAGGTGCATCAAATCTTTCATGTTTCTTTCTTAGAGGCTTATTCAAAATCAACTACTGCAAGAAGAATATAACCATCACTACCTTGCATTGAAATAGATAATCATGTGGAATATGAAGTAAAAAAGATCTTTAATTCTAGACAAAGAAGAGGTAAGTTGAAATATTTTATTCATTCGCATGGCTACGATATGAATGACTATATGTGGGAACCGGCAAAAAATTTAATTAACACACTACAAAAGGTATAAGAGTTTCATTAATGTTATCTTCAAAAACCTAAACCTATTTTAGGATGGCTTCTTTATGTAATTACTATTGGGATATTGTATATAATAAAGAAAGTAGATATGAAATTAATACTCCTCGTAGAACTTGAAATTAAAAGATGATGTGAGGTTATTAATATCTAATAAGAATATTTTAAGAATATTCTATTAAGATCTAAAAGATTCTAAAAAATTCTTAAAATATTTAAATAGAAGGTTTTAAAAGATTCTTAGAATATTTTAATAAAAAATTATAAAAATATTCTTAAAATATTCTAAAAGTTTCTTAAAGGTTTCTAAAATATTCTAGCAGATTTTAGAAAGTTCTTGAAGGATTAAAGAAGTTATTCAAGAAGCTTCCTAAGATTGCTTCATCTTTAAGCAACATAAAAACTTCTTAAGGAGCTTCTTAAGGTTGCTTCATCTTTAAGCAACATGAGAACTTTTCAAGGAACTTCCTAAGGTTGCTTCATCTTTAAGCAATATGGAAACTTCTCAATAAGCTTCTTAATACCTAGTATATATTAGAATTGAAGTTAAAGAGATTCTTATTCTCGACAATACATCTCTTAGAACTCTAGCTTACCTTTCTTAATATTGATTTTATATTTATTTGGTTTAATCAAGTTCTTGCTGGCTTTTTTGTTGAAGCTCTTTTGTTCAATTTCTTGTTTGATCTCCTATATAATGTATCCATGATAATAATAATTTTTAAAAGATATTTCTAAAAAACTAAGTTAGTTTATGAAATTATCTAACAATTTATTATAAGAATGTTTTAAGAAATATGTTACAATATTTTTGCAACATGCAACAAAATAATATTTTTAATTTTTTTTACAAAGCTTCAAGAGCCTATTAATAAATAATAAAAAATACTAATATAATTTGAGAATTATTTAATTTGATTATTTTGCACTTTTAAAGAGCTATATTATTAAGTTATTTTGTAAAAGAAACGATATACAACAAAGACAAAAAAAAAAAAAAAAAAAAAAAAAAAAAATCTATATAATATTCTTTGTATAATTTAATAAGATATTTTTATGCTACAATTTAATAGTTTCTTTGTAGTTGCTAATTGTTTTTTAAAAGATCATCCAATATGTTTAAAAAATACTTTTTAAGTAATTTATTTGGTCATGATTATTTTGATATAACTTTAATTGGTGGATGTGATGAAACTAATATACATATCAATCTATTACTTAATACTTATGATATATTTTAGTATAATAAAAACGTGACAATATAATATTAAATTTTAAACTTGATTATTAATAAGCTTATTTTTAAAATAAATTTGATAGATTTTTTTTATTTTTTATATTATTTTACTATTATTATTATTTTATGTTTTTTCTCTTTTACTATAATAATACTCCTTAAAAGTGTTGTGAGTGGTATATTATGCATTTAATAAATATAATTTATCTCTATGTTTTTAGAATCATTTACAATAAATTTTATAACCTAACACTCCTACATTTTTATTCTTATGTTTAATAACATTTTATTTAGACAAGAATTAAAATTTAAAATTAGAGCAAAAATATTTTAGACTTACAAATAGTCAAATTCGTATTTTCACGCAGAAAAAATCCATAACTTATTTTTAAAACTTTAACATTTATTCACGTATATATGTTCTAAAGGTAATACAAAAACACGTGATCTAATTACACAAGTTATCAACAATGTCAACAACAACAGAAACTAGCAAAACAACCCAAGCAAAAATCAAATCGTGAATTTGAATCGGATATGAACATTGCTCACAAGCCAAAACAGAAAATAAAACATGAGAACATTCAACAAATCACGAACTCAAGGCTCAACACCAAAAAAAAAAAAAAAAAAAAAAATCCTTCCAACCGTTCAATCAATCTAACAAGCAAGATGGTAAGCAAGCAAGCAATCGAACAATGAACGTATCCACGTCTGGAAGAATTTGCAAAGTGAGAGAGAGAGCTACGAAACCCAAATTCCATGAAGTTTGAGGCGTCTCATGGGAGTTGCATGAGAGGTTTTGATGGAATTGCGGTAGTTTTTCAAGCATCGAAGCTCTCACTGATGGCGTGGGAATCGACGTGATGGCGCAACGCTTCTTTTCAGAACCCCGGATGAATCGTTGCTGCCTCGTTGCCTTTGTGGTGGTGGATGAGCGGCCGTTGGGACAATGGTTTATTTGTTTTTGTTTTTGTTTGTTTGTTTGTTTGTGTGTTGACGTGGTTGTGGTGGTCGTCGCTGAGGGAATGAAAATCGGCAGGGAATCGCAGCTCCAATGGACTCCGTCGCACTGCTCACACCAACCCTGATGGCGTTGCTCGCACGCGGGCTGGGAAACATCTCACGCTGCTGCCGGAGCTGCTATTTCAAGCCACCCATCTCAGCCTAGTCCATATTTATTTTTATTTATACGATTTTTTTTCTTATTTTTGTGGTTTTTGTGGTTTTCGTTTTTCGATTTTCGTTTTTGTGGTTCGAGCGTAGGTCTTTGGACACGAGTCTCATTGCTCGTCGAATCATGGAGCTGTAGAAGCTAGGTTGAAGCTCTTCGGGGGCGGTTTCCTTTTTGGGTTCAATGCCGATCACCTCGATCCTGAGAGCGGGAGTTTGCATGTTGGTGTCTGAATTTGGTTGGGATGGGTTGGATGAGGGTTGGTCGTTGAATTTGTTGTTTGTGCTTGGGAGGGCGTGAACGGACAGTGTGGGATGTTTTTGTTTGGTTTTGTGAATTGTTGAATCAGTTGCGAGAGGGTTTTTGGTTTTTTGGTTTGTGGGGTCCTGTATAGGTTTGTTGAGTTGGAGGATGGGCGTTGGCTCGCGGAGCTTGTGCTAGAGATGGTGGGATTGTGGAAGAGAAGCCGGACGAAGTTTTAGGGTTTTCAGGGCGGGGGGGGGGGGTTTTCGCCATGGAGGACAGGGCTGCGTATCCCGTGCAACGGAAGTGTGGGGTGCTGAAGAAGAAGAAGAGGGTGGAAGAGGTGGGGCCAGCTGAAGAGACGTTCGTTCCTGTCGTTGCGCCTGGCCACGGAGTTTTGAAGAAGAAGAATCCAAAGATGGTGGAGGTCGGTAGTAATGATCCGTATCCAATGCCAATCTATGAACCGCCCCTGCCGATGGATGACCCACCCTCAGCATCAGCGAATGATCTCCCACGCTCGGGTGTACTGAAGAAGCGGAAGATGAAGGTGGCCAAACCTCCGAGACCCAACCTAGTGTTGAGAGGTAATGCAGCCTGGTTTTAGCGCTCCATGTTTCTCGTATGCCAAGTGCAACTGTGTCTTGATTTTTTCGTCTCTTTTAAGTTATTAGAGGTGGAGTTGTGATGAGGCCATGTGTGTGGAACAGTGGACGATTCCGCCACGGAATCAGAAGTGGATGGAAATGCGCGCGAGGTAACTGTTGCGACCGTGGCGCCCCCCGCAAGAGCTCCGAATCAGGAACATCGTGCGAAGGGCTTATTGAAACGGAAATTTGTGAATAACGAGGGCCCTGCCAAAAATGAGTTTACTCCACCTCCTGAACATCATCCCGTTATGGAGGTGCAGCAACCAAAAGGTGAGGTTTTACAGATCAAAACAATTTGGGCTACATGTGGCTGTTATAGACATCATTCTTCCAGATGTTTAACCTGATTTTAGGTCATTGGTGAACTAATTCCGCATTTTTGAAGCCTATTTTCCACTATTTTTTTTTACTGATTTTGTTCGGATGCTGGTGTTGGTGGTGCAGCTGGTGATCGGAGAAAAACGATGATCAAAGAACTTGCTGCATCTTATCGGAACGATTGTCAAACTTACTGCAGACAGATTTTGCAATTACAGCGGCAATGGAAAGAGGTCTGTTTTTTGTCCTCATCATAAATTTTTAATGTGTACTACCATGTCTAGCTTGAAAACCCTGTTGATATTTGAGACTAGAAATAGTGTTCAAATCGCTTAATGTTTCACGAAAAACTGTCCTCTAAGACCTATATGGTTGCCCTTGATTGTTCTTGAATTGAATTCAGACTCTTAGTCCGGTCATTTGAAACGCAGGAAGAGTAGAGTCATATGATTATCTTGGGTAATTGAGTTGAAACCAGAAACTGATGCTTCGTGATGATTTGTCATACTAATCAGCAAGAAATACCAATCCTCCCTCAAGCACCAGCAGAAACTGAAAATACTCGAAGAGCTTCGGGTTATAAGAAGAATGGGTCACGTAGAGGCCGCAGATCTTACAAAAACAACAATGGTACTGTCAATTCAGGCGTGGTTTCTTCTTTCTTTCTTTCTTCTATTTCCTCCTCTCCCTCGTTCTCCCGAAGTACCTGTGAACTAATCTTACGCTGTTTATGTTGTTTTCATTCAGAAAACGATGATGGTCCATTGCAGCTGGTGAATGGCAAGATGCCATTACGAAGACGTGTAGGATGGCGAGCTAATGAACGGGAGGCGCTGCGGCGAGGATTGCTGATGTTTGGTTTAGGCAGATCTGAGAAAGTTAGGAGCATAATGCGAACTCTACTGAAGTTTTCTCGTCATGGTCTTGGCGATATAGCGGATTCATGCTGGGAGTTTGTCAAAGGTTGTGGAACTTATGCAGAGGCCAAAGAAAGGGAGTATGCAGTGAAACGATTGCAGGAGGCCATGGACCATGGAATAGAAATGGGTAAGTGTACATGGATTTAATGCTTCTGAGACGAGATGTTTTCTTGACTTTTGATCATATCTATACCTTTGTGGAATCAGGCATAATATACATGTAATTTTTGTTTTCTTTTTCTTTAACATAATTTCTTTTAACAATCTGTGTTGGTTTTAATCACTCACCCTTGTCATTTTGGCTTCAGTAGTGAGTAAGACACACTTTGCAAATTTGTGTTCAACACTTACAATAGTCTATCCTATTTTTCAAGTGGTGCTTTAGGACCTGCCTCCATCATCTCAGGTACCACATGTCTAGTGCGATCATGGAGGTTTTTTAGTTTGTCTAAAGTAAATCTGCTCCAGTTGGCAGTTATTTATAACCACGTGCATGAACTGAGGATTTTTCTGGAGTAAGGCGCTTGCTGTTACTCCTCCATTGTGACTTGTTCTCATAGACTTTTGCAATGGCTCTGTAGCAGGCCCAGAAGTTTCCGCAAGAGTCGGTGAGTTCGACAAGGTAGCGAGGAATGGTTCAGTCTGGCTGAAGCGATTGAAGCTCCTGGATAACCTCGCGGATGTCGTCAGGATTTGCGCAAATAAGGAAACTCGAGAGGCTGCGTATAGAGCTATTGATAATCTGAGAGATGCCAGCGTCCCTCATGATGGATGGGGAAGAGAAGCGGACTTGGCTTTGCTGGCTGGTGTTTACAAGCATGGTTTCGGGAATTATGAGTCTTTGCGTAAAGATGAACAGTTTTCAGAGACTTTCACAAAAGTGTTCAATGCACCTGTAAGTCGTCACTGTTTTACCCAGCAGAGAGAGTTGATACCAGGCTCTCAAGCCTGATGCACGTACTATTCATGTTGTGTTTAGCCGAGACTCCGATTGCCTTGAACCCGGGGCTTCATTGCTCAAATTGCACCTAATTACGCCTTGTTAGTACATCCAATGTTCTGGAGAACTTTTTTCATTTTCTTTCTCCTTGAGGAAAGCTTTCTTTTCTGAATTTTTCTCAATCCTATTATGTATTTCTTTGGGTTCAGGGTACCACTTTTTCTGTTCACACTACTGCTTAAGAACTTTCGGTTTATGCTAGTTTGGTCGGAAAGGAAGTGTGTAATATCTTAGCTTACGCATGCGATATTTACGTTCCATCATAATAATTAGGCAACTTTTTGTGTTTCACTCATGGTTATTGGGTAGGTATGGTGCAAATTAGTTTTCTGGGTGGTGATGGAGTATCTCTACCGTGATGTATTGATGGAAGTATAAGCGACAGTAATTCGAGAAGAGCGCTAAGAGCCATGCCTGTTGCTATTTGTCTCAGGATCTTGACGACAGGGATGGAGATGTAGATCCACAATTGTCAAGCAGGTTTGGTAGTCAACATCCATCCCTCTAATGTGTTATGTTTACTACTCGTTTTCATGTGAAGTCAATGAATTGGCTCTTAAAAAACTTCCTCAGATCGGATTCTTTTTCACATAGCTTTCTTTTATGAACTCCGCATCCTTAACCTTGTTGATGTTCAAATAGGATGGTTGTAGTCGTTTTGGTATTTAGTTAAAGTCCTGGATTGACTTGGCCTATTTGTGCAGAGATAAACCAGATTGGCCAGATGCGAACACTTTGACACGTCGACTCAAGCGTCTAGTGGATCATATTATCCGAGTTGGCCAACAGGTACATGCTTCCTACTTAAATATCTCACGTTTCACTTCTGAATTGACATTCTCAATGTCCCCAGTAATACAATGTTGTCGGGCTTTGCATTAATATTGTTTTCCCTGTATATTTAACTTATATGTTTTCCTTCTATGGTGTGCATCTTTCTATGTCCTTCCACTTTCCATTTTCTACTTAAACATTGTTTATGTCATGCTCCTTCAGGCAAACAAGGGGCCTAAGGCCTCTGAAGCCCCACACGTGCCACGATCACTAAAATGGAGTAAAAGGGATAAGATGGAATTCTTTCGACAACTGATGCGATGGGGCCTCCCACTGGTATTAACTTCCGTACGGGTTGAAATAGGGCATGTGAATATTTCTCTTGTGATTATGGTCTTCAAAGTTTTTTAGATGATCGTCTGTGCACGATATACTTGATGTTACAAGCGTTGAACAGCCAAAGTTTTGAGAATGAGTCGTATCACGGAAGAGTCTAGCGTATTATGGTAGTGGTGCATTATTGCTCGAATATTAAGCAAATTTTTGTAATATGTATTTGACAGGCACCAGGGAGAGGTGCTGTTAGGTGGCAATTGTTGACAGAGAGATCGACTAATGCTTCTTTGAAGAAGAGAGATGACAGTAGTCTGGAAACTTGTTATCGCGGTATCTTCAGGGAGATGAAGCAGCTTGTGGATGGTCCTGAAGATATGCAAGAAGATGGGATGGAAAGGTCCAATGGCAAGGTAAGGCGCACACACCGTTCTTTTTCTGTGTTGAAGTGGTGGTCAGGCCTTACTTGTCATCCACCAATTATTTTTGTCATCATCTTGCACCTTTGCTTGCATCTTAAGTCACTAGCTCTTACAAGCTGTTTCTGTATCAACAATATCCGTGATCCTCTTATAATATGCTAAGCGGTTTTCCTTAATATTGTCTTCTTCATTTGGCAGAGGAAGAGGAATGCTGCATCAAATAGGCTTGCTGCTAAGACTCCAGAATTTAGTATTCTTGAGCAATCGTCGTTTAGCCCTAGTGTGCCTCAGGATACAATTGGACCGTCTATCCTCAACGAGAAAAGCGCGGTGGGTGTCCGCTATCAGCTACTGTGAAAGATAGTGCAATTTTCTGAATTTAAAGATACTAGAATTATCTCAGAGCCAAGCGCAGGATTTCAATCTGCTTGCTACCGCCATTGAACAATTAGTATGGTTCTAAGATTCGCGCACCACTGCTTTTACAGGTGAGGCTGAAAGACCGACTGGAGCTCATTGATACTATGCGGCAGGTGTCTGAGACTCTTCAAGATGAAGATTGGGATACTTTAGGCCTTTCCTTACATCATGGCTATGATATGCCATCTTGGTGGGAGGCTGGTTACCATGACAATGCTCTTATCAAGGTAGCAGATGAAAGCCTGCCATGTTTTCGAAGCTATTTTCCTGGCCATTTTGCTTATATACGACGTCATTCTTGTTGAAGTTCCTTGCATTTGAAATTCGTGTTCCGGGCCTGAGTATCTTTGGCACTTTGCAGGGAGTGCTAGAATATGGATATGGGTCTTGGGATGAGATTTTTGCTGATGAAAGCTTGGGATTCCCTGATGATATCGGTAAAAGTCATATTCTACTTTACATCTTATTCACTCTTGTCTTGAGCTTCGACTGCATAGTGGTTACGAAATCAACTGTTTATCATTTAGCTTTTACTTCTGTGCGTTGGACTCATTTCAGTTGTCAAATTGTTTGTAAAGCAGCCCTTGCCTCTAACATTGACGATCCAGGTTATGTTCGTAATATTCCAGTTTAACTCCTTTTGTTTATTATCGATTGTTTTGTTCTCCGTGCTGTATTTTTACTGTTCTCCAACTTTTCCATCAGTTAGAGAGGGACCTAAATTCCATGTGTATGTGGCAATCTCTTTGTTGACAGTTTTGAGGGACGGAGAAGATGGACCAGCGACACTGGCCAAACCAACATCCAAGGCATGTATAAAGAGGGTGAAGTTTATTGTGAACAACTGCCGGCGTTACTTACGTAAACTCAAGGTACGAATTTTCACCGAGGTAATTGCTGCATCTGTCATAGCGTTTCATTTCAATGAGTCATAAATGCAGTATCTTATGTTTTGAATTCTCCTGTGCAGCAACCGCCTCGGAGGACAAAGCCGACTTCTGAAGTAAAAGAGGCAAAGGATCCAAGGGAGATAAAGCGTTTCAAATATGCTCGTGCTGTGGAGGTTACCCGGGATTCAGCCAGCAGACCTATTTTACCACTGGTTTTGACTGATAGTCTCAGGCTTGCAAATCTTGTAAGTGGCTAAACTTGTTCCAAGTTTGGATACGAACTTTGTTTCTCTTGTCGTTTTAGCCACTTGGCTGACTATAACTGCTTCTTATGATAGCCGTAAACAATGTTGACTATGTTACATCATTATTTTTTTATGTTATTACAGTATCGCATTTGATTCGGACATGGGCTTGTGCGTACCAAGTTAGTGAGATTGTGCCGCCGTTCAAAATCCCTTTAGCTAAACCTAGGCACTCTTATTCCTTGTAGCTGATCATTCTGAGCCTTTGTTCAACAGGGAAGAATTGAGCCAGATAGGCCAGGGTTCCACAATGAACGCCATATCTTTCCAATTGGTTTCACCACTCTCCGAGATCACGCCAGTATGATTGATCCGAATGGACGGACAACATATACTTGCACTATAATTGACACTGGGGGTCCTGGGCCTATATTTCGTGTATATCCAGAAGACGATCCTGGTTTGCTGATAGAAAGGGATTCTGCTTCAGGTTCATGGGTTGTCATTTGTGCTCAAGTTAACAGAGTGCGGGGCATTGAACGTGAGAAGGTTCTAATTCTTGTTGACTCTTGTGTCTCCTGCTCGATAGTTTTGTTTGGAGTTTAGCTCTTCGTTGCGGTTTTCCAAGTACGGTTTGTGTAAGAGTACATTGATTTCTAGCATACTGTAATTGTCCGAGCTTCCGAGTCCTAGCGATTCCGGACATTTTGCTTGGCCTTGATGAGGCGTGACGATTATTTAGAACGAGCTAACATGTCCTTCGGGGCTTTTCAGGTCACTGTAAGTGGAACAGAGATGTTTGGACTGTCCCATCCAGAAGTATGTCGTTTGATACAAGAGCTGCCTGGGGCTGAGCTATGTAAAAATTTCCGCCCTGAGTTATCCTTTTCCAGATTTGGCCCACAAGTCGTAGCTAGACCAGTCATTGAAGATTCAAGCTTATTGTTGGATAGTGTATTGGGAAGGTCTGCTCAACCAGCTCCTGATTCAGAGGTGGAAGAAGTGGATGAAGGGGGTAGTGACAGGGATGAGATATCAATGTCAGCTTGGCATGTCAAAGCTGTTGAACCAAGAACGGGGAAGACACTCGTTCGCCCTCCAGCTAATCGATCTATGGAATACGACGAAGAAGATGAGGAGGAAGAGGAGTTTAATGAGAACGATGAGGACAACAATGGCTATGATGAGAGCACGGACGAAGTTGATTAAGAATGAAGTCCCAGCTTGGTGGCTATTGTAGACACCCGGCAAAAGCCTGTGTAGAGCTGATGCAGGCATTGGCAAACCTTTTCTACGAGTTGGTGTATTGATGAATGCTTGATTTGATGAGGTCCACTGAACCCCGAGGAAAGTCTCAAATGAACTACAAACAGCAAATGCAGCGTTAGGTATCAAGAATATTGCAGCTCATTTTCGCTTTTTGTAATAGTTTGTTTGCATAGCCCACTTTCTCTATTACCTTCTTGATTTTCTGTGCATGACGAGTCCTGAGGTTTTTAGATCCGTGGTATGTGTAGGTTGCAATTCGTTTCTCAGTTAAGAGCGTTATTTCTGACTGCAGACGGAGCTCCAGATTACACTCAGATTACATCCCCAAAGCTACTGAAACTTTTTATGGGGACCTGACGCTGCAGCAGCTGAAGTGGAAAAGTAGTAAAATATAACTTTTCTCCTACAGGGGAGCTTCCGTGTAAAACATATTGAATGACCTGATGATGCATGTTGGGACATGAATGGCATTTTCTTGTGATGATTGCATAAAATTTTCAATGTCAAGGGCTTTCCACTCTCTCCTCTGTTGGACATATCGGATTCATTTTCGATTATATTGTTTCAAATACCACTGACAGTGTAATGATACAGTCAGGCTATTATTATCCGAAGCACTCTTTGCATTTTCTCACATATTTGATCAAGGAAAATTGCTTTCTAGATTGCTTCTTGCATTAGATAACGTACACTTCAATTTTTAAATATGCTCAAATAGAATAATGAATCTTATCTAACTTAGCAAGATGATACACATTCAAGGCCATCGAAAAACTCAATTGTTGACAATTGTAACAGATGCGTAATTGGCACACTATCCATCATGAATGTATCATTTGGACACTTCGTACTCCGCACAAGTAATAAAACCACTTACATCTTCAATGTACAAAATGGGAATTGCACCATGAAAATGATTGATACACAAAGAACAATACAAAAAGTTCTTCCAAATTTGCGGACGAAACAGTGAATGAATCAGAGAAGAAATATCTGAAACAACGGCTCTTTCACACAATTAAATCCTAAAACAAACAGGTGTTTTATTTAATTTAAATATATAGAAACTTATCATAAGTTTGCATAGATAAATGTACTTATTCGCGGTCAGTCCTAAAATCTGCATTTCAACAATTTCTTTAGTCATCCGTATCATTCAAGTCAAGAAATACTAATTTACCAGGCCTCTAAACCCTTAAGTGAATTCCAATATATAATCCACGTCTTTCCAATTCACAATCGTTTTGAGCTTTACATTCACCTTGACTTTACTCAGATATGAAAGCTAATCACGTCAACCCAGTACAAAGAGCGAGAGAGTGTATATCTGTATTTAAAGACACAAGCTCCTCCTTGATGAAACTACTGCTTGATGAGCTTCATACGATCATCGACACAAGCCACGGGGCTCCATGAATTCCTGGCATCGGGTACCTCACATCACATTAGAATGAATAAGCTTCAATCTCGAAGGATGACCCGTTGCTAGATAGCTCTCACCTGCATACTCAGGATTAGCTGAGCCCCATCTGGCCAATGCAGGTGTTGGCAATTAGGAGAGCTTCGACTCAGTGGCAAGGCTTGTGGACACCACCAGACCCTCTGTATCATAGGTTCGCACGAGGCGTCGCCTCTGGCCTGGAAACTCGATCCAAGAGAACTCGAAGTAGAATGCCTGCATTCGACCTACACTTTGACCCACGCTACCCGGGCAGGTTAAGGCCAATCCTCCTGGAAGCATGGTTGTGAGTAAACCTCCTTCAAACCTCATGATGTTGCCTAAGGATGCCCCGTTCATAGCAATCCGCGTTCCTTGTCCCCTGTCAGTCGTGATCTCCTACAAAAACACGTTTCTAGATTCATTACACTGGAACTTGTACTCATTCAAGGTGCTAGTAGCGACAACCCAGAAATGACTCTGTTCTTTAAGAGCGGGCGTGTAAAAGAACCAATCAACTCTGTATAGGATTGTGTTCCTTATTCATAGAAAATATTTGTGAAGTTTACTGTAAAGCAAAAGTTGTGGATTGATTGGAAATGTGGAAGATAGACACGCTTCGATCTGGCGAAAGCAGGTGAGAGTGAGTACTAGTTTCATCTTGGCCTCCTCGTTTCTTTCGTAGGAAACTTGGACATTGTATTGCGCCAGAGTAGAGCCATAAATGCCAGTTCGCCGTGTCACAAGTTTCCCTGACCACTTGCCGAGCAATGATTCGATTCGGGAACCAGCTTCGTCAGGAAGGTTCCTCTGTGATTCTGCAAAGGAGCTGCCGTCTCTGCTCTCGTGAAAGATACCAATCACATCAAGCAGGCCGCGAGGGTCGAGGACATGGAACGCTCTCACCCGCTTCTGGGCGTCCTTCGAGTACAGACAGCTTTCACACACAAGCGCTGGGCGTCGAGATGGGAGCTTCACGCCTCTGCACATTGGGAATGTTCACGAACCAGTCAACAACAGAAAACAACATTCGTCAAGCAGAAATAATCTACTACAACATTCGACTTCAAATACACAATGGCTAATTATCAATTGTGATCTACATAACATAGACCTATTAGTTTTTTTATCATTAAATTATCTAACAAAAGGTTTGTCATACCTGGTTTTCAGAAATGGCTTACTTTGGAAACTCCTCACCGTCATCATCTTCTCCAAGTACTCCAATTCTCAAAACCTGCTCGAGCATCTCCGATGTCTGATGTGACACAGTGTAGGCATTTTCACTGGGGAAAAAACCAATCTGCCACAACCAAGGATGGGATGTAAGTTTTTAGTCAAATACATCTTATATTCATTCGCCTATGCTCTCTCAGGTGGAATATCTGAAACGAGTTTCACGCAGATCCTTGTAAACAGATCCTTATAAGCATACGAGGTAGCTCACTTATGACTCATGTTAGATACCCAACCGTGGACAAACAGTGTTGAGAGCTGAGCAATGGGTACTTGAAGAACATACCAAGTTAGCTAGGCACGATCCTACTGCGAGCTAATGATTTCGAATCCACTAATCAAGCTATACTTAAACAAGATGTTACTAATACAGGATTGGTAACTGGCTATTTGGACGGTGCATGAACCTTACATGCTGTCGCTGCTCCATAGTAAAGAGATTGATATCCACTAGTTTGAATTCCTGCCAAACCGGTTCGTCGTCGTCATCTTCTGCTCTAGTCTTCGAAACTGCTTCTTTTATGTGTAACCTGCCAGGATGAGCTTGTCCTTACTGAGAACGGTCGGAATTACTTCTCAAAAGTCCATGGCGGCGGAATCTTCTCTCCCCGGGAAGAAGAAGAAGAAAGAAAAAGAGGAATTAAACATTCCAATTCATAAATGTTAAAAAATTAAAGGTGGGTTGCTGGGATTTCACCTTTTTAACGTAAACACATAAGAAAGCGAAAAAGGGAATTTGAAGAGAACTTACGTTTGAAGGAGGCTAATATTTTCGCCTTTCCCATACGAGGTCGCAGAGAGCCTAGTGGGAATGCATTGTAAGGCATTGCCCATGACATCATATTGCTGCAAAAAGACCACCTCACACTAGTCACATAGAATCCTAGACAGAGACACCACCTTCGCACAATCAAACGCAAGAATTCAAAACGAATATTACATTGACATTGTGCCCGTGTCTCAACGACACAAATGCTAATACCATAACAAAAAAACTAAGCAGACGGCAATTTAAACTGTGGGCCTTACAGTGAAGGTGCCCCTCCAGAAGCCCACATTGAGCTCAATAAATTGTTCAAGGTTCGCCAGTCCTGCGGGGCTACCGCTGCCTTCGTCCCCTTGGTTGAAAGCCTCGGATGTGGCTTGGCTACAGAAAACTCGACTATCTTTTTGCTTCACCAGTGCGCTACAATCACTATGCTCCAAACTCGTCAATCCTAAGCCCCTAGATTGCGCCGCTCTCCATGAATAGCTACTGCTAAAACCCCACTGCGAGGAAAGAGGCTGAGGCGTTGAATTGCTGGTACAAAGTGTCAACGATGAGGAGGACAAGCAGCGCAGCGTAGACGCCATCACCATTGCGATGCCTAACACAATCACGATAACGAATCTCCGGTAGCTCTGAGTGGCTATGGAATGTTGGGTGCTCTTGAAAAAGCAACAACTTCTTGCCAAAAGATTGGTCTGTGAAGCCACACACCACTTTGTAGTCGTTTGATCATGCCTCGGCGACGGGATAGATGATGAGCCTCGATTCCACTTATTCCTTCATCCTTCCGAGCAACATCGAATTCATTCGTTGATTCAATCGCCGTCCTAGGTCCCAGCCTGAAGAATGTAATAGATACGTCCTCATGGGTGCTGCCCGCTTTTATGAGATACATGTTTCTAATGACGGGATTCGTTTCAGTGCTTGCCAAAATACTCAGTTAAAAAATCAAGTTATTCAATTAAATATGCGTTTTTTTTCTCATTAAACCTATTTTTCTTTTCACAGGGAGAGACGCTCCATTCATTCTCGGGACTTATCCCCGAAACTTGTCTAGCAATACAACTGTTATACAGCAGCGAGCTCATGGTGTAAGAAATCTGACTGGTCAACCCTATATCCAAATTTTTAGATTGAGCACTCAAAATTATGAACAACACTCGGTAGCAAAAACCATTTTACGAAAAGATTCAAATAAATGACGACAATTCTTTTGAAGGTATGAAGGGAAGCATCCCCTCTCCAAACAGATCAACTAGAGAAGCCAACAATGGCCCTACGTCCCCATCTTCCTTCCATGCTTCTGACAAAGTTATAGATTTTCCTCCCTTTTTACTAGGTTTTCTAACACTGTCCTCCAACACATTCTCCTCTCCAATCCTTGGTGCTTTGCCTCCCTCCCTCGGCTCTAATTGGACAGTGCTCTCGGCTCCATCTAAATTTCTTCCCTCGGTTGCTATCGAATTGTCGGTGTCTAAGTGAGGTCTTTTCTGAGGAGGCTGCTCCAAGTCCGCCGCACCTATCCTTTTTCTTGGTGAAATATCCATCGCAGTTTCCTGATGCTTCGCTGCAGGCCAATGAAACCAAGAATGAGTCACAACTTATCAAGAATTTAAGAAGCTAAAGAGCGTTTTGATCAGAAATGCTTAGCCACGTCTTAAGATGGCCTCCATAATAGACCTTTTTCATTTTAGGGATTGAAGATCTGAGCTTACCGTTAGTTGTAGCCACCCTTGCTGTGGACTTCAAGGCAACCCGAGATGAAGATGGCAACAAGAAGGATTGCGCCTTCAACTTCTCGTACATGCATGCTCCCGATGCCGTCTGCAAATAATAAGCAACAACTCACAATGATCAATTACTAAATGCAACACGCAAGCACGTCCAGGATAGACCACTCACTTAACGTAAACCAAATAAAAGAAACAAGAACGAACCTGTAGAGCCCCATAGACACGCCAAGCCTCGTAACGTTTCATTTCGTTCTGCTGGGTCTCTGGACTTAGCTCTGGAGCTAGCAAACGAAGGTAGAGCTCAAGATTCGGCAACACTACCAGGCGTACCTGCATACAGTATGCACTTTTTTACAAATGAAAACCAAAGAACTACAAATTTAGCCAAGGAAAAGATCTACTGGTGAAATTCTAAAAATAAGCATGTCAAAGAAGAATGAAATCATATGCTTCAGAAACAAAGTTTCACATGCTGACTTAATCAGATGAACTCCATAAGTAAAGGTACATACTACACGTGATCCAAGAGCAGCTAGCCCTCGAATGGCACCATAGTGTTGGGTCAATGCTTTCTTGGGGTCCAAAAATGCGTGCAGCAGTGTTCGCGTAACACGTCCTTGCAGATTGTGGTACACATGACCAAACCTGGAGTACAAGCATTCGTCAAAATCAGATATAACTGAACTAAGTTACAGAAGGAAAAGCTGGACCAAAGCAAAATGTCAACCAAAGTGACGCAGCAGAAAAATGCACAACAGCATGCTTAACTTGTCTGCTCCATGCGAAGAAGACATACAGCAAAGTTAACTTACCTTTTGCAGATGAATGCCACAAGACTAGCTGTAAAATCTCTGAGTTCCCAATGATTTACAATGCCCTTGCCACCCAGGCGCTTTGCAACCAAGCAAGTTATCACAGATGGCATCATCTGATGCAACTGCAATAAGCACAACCGTGACAGATTTTAACATTTGGGGCACTCTCAAAAACCTGGCATCAGATACTTCACTGGCCCTCAAAAGTACCACAAAGAACTGCAATAAAGACTTGACTAAAGACTAGACAATAAAGCAAACTTACATAAGGCTCGATGTGTATATGAGGATTCAATAACAAGCTTTGCACAAGCCTCATCAGTGAGAATAGTAATGGGAAATCATCAAGACTCCGTGTAACCTGCAAAACACATGCAATCAATGGAAAAGTAAAGCTCAGTATGATTAAATGGTTTTCTTGTTCGTTTAAGCAACTTTTAGTACAAACAAGATGTACAGCATCACGAGAGCATACAGACACGAAAGACACCAGTCTTAATAAATGCAAAAACTTATGTGCAGGCCCATTGATGAAGTTCAGTTGTTTGTGAAAATTGCGGCAACATAAATGATCTGCTCAGGATTGGCAGGCAGAGCATTTTGAAAGAATTTGTACCTCATCAGCTACAAATTGGGTAAAATAGGGAACAAGAGGATGAAGGCCCGAGTCAGTGGCCAAACTGACAAGAGCATCCCGTAGAAGTTGTGTATCAGCCCCAGTTACCACTAGCTCGGTCATCTTTTCAAAATAAAGCTGCAGTACATATTAAAAAAAAAAGAAAAAAAGCTCAGTAAGTTGGAAGAACAAGATAGAAATTGAATACTCGAGATTTACAATAAGCATGTGGATCACGTAACGCACCTGAAGTTCTTTAGAAAGGACATGCTTGACGGGTGGTTTCACGTCAATTGCGCTTTCATCATCCTTCCGAGGACCTTCTTTTTTGGTCTCAGTGGGCGGTGCTAGAACTGGACCAGAGTAAAACAAGTGCTTCGTCAAATAAATAAATGCAAACACTTGTTTAATTGGTGGCGGCTCCTATGTTCATATAATGAGTATCAACAGGAAACTATCATTCACAAAATAAGATAAAAGTCTAGCTAATACCTTCAATAGGTGCATTCTCTGGTATAGCTGGCTGGACTCCCTCGACCGCAAGCCAATGAGCAACAACAGAGGCATCTAACGGAGCTTTGGGCAAGGGAGCTTCGACAACCTGTATAACAAGAACGCAGATATTTTGAAATTATAGCTTTATCTTTAGAAACATTAAAGTTTATTTTTTGTTTCAAATTAATTTTGAATACACCAAAAGAAATGAAAACCAGAAACAGTGCTCATACATTGGCATCTCGAGGTATTCCGACACTTTGAGAGCGTTCAAATAATAATATTAATCTCTTCAAGAAGTCTGAGAACTAAAAGGTGTAAACTGTGAAGTTACATAGCTAATTGCAAATAATGAGGATGACCAATTATCCTCGATATCTCGCTCTGACTCAGGAAACCGCATAGAAGTAGACTACAAACATCAATGGCATACAATCACTAATTTACCTCTTTAAATTCGAGATCCCGATCTTCGACATAAAACAAATCAGAATGGCCGAGGGCTCTACGGAACCTCAAAGGGTCCCCGGAGGCAAACCCATACAACGGCTGCACCAGCAACAAACACACAAGTCTGAAAAATATTTATCTAACGCATTAGGCCTTTTCTGGAATGAAAAAACTACTGAGAATTTAGTATACTTGCACACAGGCAGGCACCAACAATCTGGATAAGCTTCGAATAAGACCATGATTCTATACTTCTCTCAAGAACAATCTCAGAAAATGCAAAGAAATAGGATGTCAGTAATTTCAAACAATTTCCACTAGAAAATTACCTCAACGTTGCGAAGACTCAGGGCACTGTTGACATCGTCGGTAGTGAGTATGGACCTCTTAGAATGCCGCATGCATTTTACTGCCTCCTGCAATCGCATCGACGAATACAATCAACTACCAAGCCATCGAAGCACCTCAAAAACTCGGAACTGACAGAACATCTGCCGATGGCAACCACTGAAAAAATAATCACTCAAAAATTGAAAAATACTCAATAAATATTCGTGACGTATTGTTCATCCACAATCAATATCTAAATTACTCTTGTTTCGAAAAAAGCACTACAAACTAGCGCGAAGCGTTAGGGTTTTCGGACAGAATTTTTCAAGCTCATGACCAAGCACCAAGATTCGTGCACGTGAATATTGTACCGGAAATACAGTAGAAAAAGAGGTTGCATTCCAACTAAAAACACCACGTTTAAACCCCCGAGCAGTTTTCTAGGCTCCAAAGCATAGCCAACACCAAAACCCCTCACTCAACTCATGGAAGCACAACACACGCCACAGCACCTGCATAATTTCGCGCATCCGGTACTCGACATCAGGAGCGAGTTCCTTGGCGACATCGTCATGCAAATTCGCGATGCCGATGCTCTGGGCAATGACGTGGATAGTGTCCTTAGGCACGATACTCATCTCGCCCTGCTTACGACCACCTCTCCTCCCGCGCAAGTTCCGCTTCACCTTCGGTCTACGCTTCTCCTTACATTCCCGATTGTTTCATTCTCTGCTCTCGCACACCTTCCCCTCCTCTCCGATCTCTTCTTCTTCCAATTGACGGCAGACTCTCAAAACCCAGACACACACGAACACCTCTACTTCCAAGCAATACAGAGAGGATTGAGGTCTCGCTCGAATGATGTACGCAAGCCGGGATTCTATAAACAATAGAGCGAACAATTCAAGAATCCGAAACCTCGATCACCGACACACATCCCTCAATCGGGAATAAACCGATGAGCGAGAGATTGCAGAGCGCGCGGTGAAGCTCGAACTGGCTGTTAAGTTAGGGCTGGCGTCTTCCAGTTGTGAAGGGAACTTCGCGGTGTGAACGTGGTTTCAGTGATTTCGCTGTGTGAACGGGGGGTGGAGGCACCGCGTTCTCCACGCATGGTCGAGGGACTAATCTAAATAATTAGAAACAAAATATATCGAATGAATAGTTCTGTTCACACTGTGACCTCCTCCACATGGGCGAAGCAAACCTTTTATTTCTATGCCGTTTATAACTGTGGCTAGTGTTAACAAAAAAATATTTTAATTTAATACTAAAAATATTTACTGGATTAATTTATTATTTTATTTAATTTGTAATATATGAAAAAAAAATTATCATCTATAATAAAAAAGTATTGGCAATGTCACCACGATTTTAGCTACTACCACTACCACTACAAGTTGTGGTGGCATTAGCAATACCTTAATTGAATTGTATGAATCATGTGTTTTTTTTTAGTTTCTTTTTCATTGACATAGTAATGATCTTTTGTATCCCAACTTGTATTTTCTCAATTATCATATAATTGCTCTACTTTATAAGTGATTGTTTTATATTTCAACCTTTTTCTAATATATTCACTCCTTTATTTTCAACCTTTATGAGCTAGAGTATCAATTTCTATTATTTATAATAAGTGTTTACTTGAGAAAATTACAGACTTGAGTTTAAATAGAATGTAGAGGATATTTATTCAAAATAAAATAAAAATAAAAATAAAAATAAACTTATTTGAATTATGATAAGCAATTTTTGTGTATTATAACACGACTTTTTGCTAGTAATGCATTAGAAAAAGGTAGTTTTAATTAGTCAAATCTCATTAAATCAAATATAGGCCCCATGTATATTCTAGTTAATATTCTTGTTCAAAAAAACACTTCTTGTAAACGAAACAATTAACATTTTAGTTGATAAAAGAATAAGATTAAGATACTAGATATATCAAAAGTAGATCAAAAGTAGAGAGTAGCTATATAATATTATATATATGTTTAAATTTTATATTTTATTTATGATGTCTTATTTACTACAATTTAAATCATATTCTAGAATTGTATGTTTTATGATCATAATATAAACTTATTTGTACAAGATTGTTATTTTTTGAAATCAAGTAGATATCAAAAATCACAAGGTACTACCTATCCTTTTACTATATTTGTAATATGAAACATTTAAACTTTAATATAAGATATTCAATGTATTTATAATCAAATGACCAAAAGTATAAATCTTGTCTATGCAAATAATATATAAATACTAGTTTGATATTTAAAAAATTTAAACTCATTTATTGACATATATATATATATATATATATATACTGTTTCCAATGCTACAAGTTGTTTTATCAGTTTATTTTTTTGCTTATAGTTCTGTATAGAATTTAAATCTTACATGCATATATAGATGAGAAAAGAACTTTAGTTTTAATGTTGATCCTAGAAAAAAAAAGAAAAAAGCATTAAAAAAAAACAAACAGGTCATTGATTTTTAACATACAATTACAACTAAATCAAAGAACAAACAGTTACAACACATCAGCTCAAATTCTACTAATTTTCTATTCAATCCAGTTGCATAGATTTTCCAAAATGTAAATTATCTACACTGCAAGCATTCTCAAAAAATATTCAAAAACATATTCATTGCTCAAACTGCAAACATCTACAAAAACCAAATCCTACATTTATTTCCTATTCGTAAAAAAAGAATTGAAAATTACAGAAGTTTTAAAAGAACGAAAAAATGGAGTAGGAACATTTATATATAAACAAAGCAAACTCAACAAGAAAACTGTGTTTGACCCCCACTTTTGCAAAACAAAAATTCTCCCTTAATCATGTCAACAAAATTATAACACACAACTGACAGTGAAGGGGATTGTGAAAATCAGATCATACTCCAACTCAGTCAGGATATAATTTAGTTTACAAACAAAATAAAATGAAATGAAATAAACACACCTCTGGTAATTTAACAAACGCATCATCGCATGATGCCTCTGAGAGACCAACAAACAAAAGCCAGAATGGAACCCAAATAGGGCATCTATAAAGGAAATATGTCCAAAAAGGACAATCTGTCTGTCTGTCTGTCTATCTATCTTTCTATCTATCTAGTTTTCTAGCTACAATCGCCTTCCTTACCGCGAGGAGCTTGCTTGGGCCGGTTTCGGAGTCGCCGAGCTTGAATGGTGAAAGCGGGGCCGGGGATCTTCCTCGGAATGCTGTAATGCGCGGGGCCTGGCCCACCGTCTCCTTTCCCTGCCACAAATCGTTTCGCCAAGCTGAAGGCAGGAATGCAGTTGTGCACCACAGGATCATAAGCCCCCGGACCAGGATTCTTGTCGCTCATCAAGTTTGCTCCTCTCCCTGCAAGACTGTACTTCGGAGATCCGGATTTCTTCACTGGATTGTAAGCTCCCGGACCTGGGTTCTTATTCTCCTGCGTAACGTCGTTCCTCGATGCCATGCTGTAATGTGGCACGCATGAGTGGACGCTGGGACTGTATGCTCCAGGTCCAGGGTTGTTTACCGCGAGCGGTTTGCCAAGCCTTCCCGCGATGGAGTAGTGCGGCACACACGAATGAGCCTGTGGGTCGTATTCGCCTGGACCTGGTCCGACGAATGCTGCTCCGCCTTTCAAGTGCGCAGCCATGGAATAATGCGGCTGGCATGAGTGAACCGCTGGGTCGTATGCGCCAGGACCCGGGACGTCTTCCCCTTTGGAAGCGTCGAATCGTTTAGCCATGCTGAATGCTGGGATGCAGTTATGAACGTCGGGACTGTATGCTCCAGGACCAGGACCCATGTCTAGTTTCGATAAATCGAGGCGCTTAGCTAAGGAGAATGCCGGAATGCAGTTGTGTACAACTGGGTCATATGCTCCAGGACCAGGGTTTTTATCGGCTACCAAGTTGGCTCCTCTTCCGGCGATGCTCCAATGAGGTACGCATGTATGAAGTCTGGGATCGTAAGCTCCAGGACCTGGATTCTTGTCGGCCGTGCCATCCTGAAACCGCCCAGCTATAGAATGCTTCGGTACACATGAATGGTCCATTGGGCTATATGCTCCAGGACCAGGCATATTTTCACGACCAAAATATTTCAACTTTCTAGCCATGGAGTACTTCGGTACACACGAATGATCCACTGGACTGTATGCTCCTGGTCCAGGCCCATCCTCCTGATTACCACCTCTTAATCTCACGGCCATTGAGTATGAAGGTTGGTCGTTTCCTCTTTCTACATCGTAAGCACCAGGTCCCGGCCCATTTTCGGCAATGTGAGCATCAAACCTTTTAGCTATGCTGAACGCAGGAATACAATTGTGAACGTCGGGACTATATGCTCCAGGACCAGGGCCTACATCTGGTTTCGTTACATCAAGTCGTTTAGCTAAACTGAATGCGGGAATACAGTTGTGAACCGTAGGACTATAAGTCCCAGGCCCTGGAACCTTGTCAACTACTAAATTAGCACCTCTTCCAGCCATGGTATAATGTGGTACGCATGTACGAACTCTGGGATCGTAAGCTCCTGGCCCTGGATTTTTGTCCAGAGGATGGGCCCCGAATCTTGCAGCAAGGCTGTAGGAAGGGCTTCCAGGCCTGTAACTGGGATGATATGTTCCTGGACCAGGATTATCCGGAGCAAGAGGTCGCCCTAGCCTTCCAGCTATGGAATACTTGGGTACGCAGGAGTGGTTTTTTGGATCATATTCACCAGGTCCAGGGCCGACGTACAATGCTCCATCTCGGTATCTTTTTGCTAAACTATACTGAGGGCCACGCTCTTGTTTGTTTACATCGTATGCACCTGGTCCAGGGTTGTTGTTCAAAAGACTTAAGTCAATTCTCTTTGCCAAACTGAAGGCAGGGATACATTTCTGCACATCCGGATTGTATGCGCCTGGACCAGGTCCCATATCTGATCTTGCACCATCAAGTCGTTTTGCCATGCTAAATGCAGGTATACAATTGTGGACATCAGGGCTATAAGTGCCCGGTCCAGGATTTTTGTTCAATAGCTCCACTGGTTCTCTAACTCGAAGTGAATAGGCTGGGCCAGAAAGGGTTCCCTTCAAATTATAAGTTCCTGGACCTGGATTTTTGTTGCCATGATCACCCCTAAATTTTCCTGCAATTGTAAACCTCGGAGGAGAAACTTTGACAGACTCTACTTTGCCAGTGTATGCCCCTGGACCAGGGACGTCCTCGCCCAACTTTCCTTTAAGTCTTCTAGCAATGGAATAATGTGGTACACACGAATGAGCTCTGGGATCATAATTGCCAGGCCCAGGCACATCTTCATTTCCGCGAACCTTGAATTTCGCGGCGATGGAGTAGTGCGGAGCTTGAGGGCTTGAAAACCTGTCTTTCACACAATAAGCACCTGGCCCCGGATTATCGTTCCAATCGTCCATGTTGTCTGTTGGTGCTTACTTTCGGCGTAGATTAAGGTTGTTGCATTATTACTGCAGTTGAACTACAGATAACGCATCTCAAAAGGCTAAAATCTTCAGTAACAAACTACTCCCGGTAAAATCTTATGGAGGTCTACGCTGCAATCATTCTCGTTTGAATCAATCATAGAACCACTAATAATCCGTGACGAGAAGACCCACATTGTGATGATCAAACTTCCACCTGTGCAGCTCGATAATTCGAAATCTTTGCACAGGTTGAGATCGAGGAATCACCATGCCAGGGCATAAAAGTTCATCACAGCTTGCCCATCACTCTGTTTCAATTCATACCACTCTTGCCATTGTGCTGCAAACTGCCTGGTATAGATTGAAAGATGGTTTCTCTGTTTGTGATTTGAATAGATATTCTCTCGAGAGCATCTGTTGATACCTCAAACATTGCCACTGGAGAAACCCAAGCCTGGACACCCGGAATCGAGTTGTACATCTTTGAGAAGCAAGCAGAAGGTTCAAGTCTACATCACTTTTCGAAGCACTCGAAGATTGAATCATCTGCACCGCGATGAAATCCCTTTGACAACTTCGTAGGCCCAATTGCTGCCCGAAATGTCTTTCGCCAGTGCCTTGAGCTTCGTAAGCCTCTTGCCTAGGTTGCAGATTTGTAACTAGTCCGTCATTGCAATGCAGGGCGATAGGCTCTAGACAAGTTGTTAGAGCAGACGTCACGTAGGCCTTGAGGAGACCTATTCATATGCCTGGATGCTCCCCCAAACTCAGGTGCTTAAGAATTGAATGTGTCGAAGCGTCAAATTTACGCGATTTGACCGAAAAAGAAGTAAAAAAGAGAACGAAAAATGAACATAAAGATATCCAAGAATCAAACTGACGGTGAATGATCAAGTGAAGGTTCATAAGTCAGTTAGTAAACCCAACTGGGAAGCCACCTTCAAATTAGGAGCATAATTTGGCTATTAATACAACATTTCGTGGAGCAATAACATTCGAACTTCGAAACAAGAGCTCAAATTTTGCAGCAAGAACGCAGAATTACAGAGCAATCCAGTACCCTGTCCAGCAAACCTCTGCTGGACGGAGGAAGAAAAGCGAGAAGCCGGTTGGGATATGAAGGGGAAGAAAAAGAGGATACGAGATAGCAGAGATTACGAAGCTGCAGACAGAGCTGGCCAAGGGACATGACAAATTTCCTATTACGATGAGAACAGGGCTGCTCTCCATTCACAGATTCTATGACTAAAACCCTGAGATGTGAACACGATTTCCCAAGCGAAACTTCTCTAGAATCAAGCCTGTCCTGCGCCACGAGATTCACATCATCAACCACAAGGGTTCACGAGAGACAGCTCCAGGAAGTCTTTCTGCAAAGACACCTCACCTTCATCCAGAGACTTCATAAACCTTGTCAAGGCTTTGGAAGCTGCTATGCGTACCAAACTCAAAATAGCAGGACTTGAGTAACTATGGTGACCCAAATAGAAATAAACAAGACTGAATACCAGTTACAACATGATCATCTCGAAACCACACATCTGAGAGCACATAGCTATCTTGCTCTGTGACAGATTGTCCGCCGACATGTAATGAATATGGATTCATCGCGACTAATTTACAACTTGAGTTTGACTTCTACTGATTAAACGACTATGGTACAAATTGGTAACAGCCTCCAAAGCCAATGCTATCTGGGCTTCACATCAGCTTGTCTTGAGCTATTCATGTCTGTCTCTTGGCTGCCGTTGGCTGTGCCCGCGACTAGAGTAGAGGAAGGGATCGGTTTGGCTATAAAGGTGGGCTGACTCTCCCCCGCCATGATGACACACGTGAACGGAGCTGCACCATCGGCAATCGTCTTCGTGGAAGTATTGTTGGAATCCGCAGCGCTCGTCCCCGAGTTTTCGTCGTTGGGATGGGGCTCAGTCGCAGAGTAGAATGTGACCGTGGTTTCCGAGGCTCTTTGATTGCTTGAAGGACGAGAGCTGTGACGGAGGCTAACACGGCGCCACTTGAGGAACAAGCAGAAGAGGAAGAGTAGAGTGAAGAGGGCCAAGACTATCATGCCTATCACAGTGGTGACGAAATAGAACACCGACACTTGCCGTCTTTGGGGGCAATTCTCACTATTGGTCGGAATGCTGCTGTTTTTCCAACATGGTGATGACCCATGATCAGAATTCATCTTGCTGACTTTCCTGACTTGTGTAGAAATATTGCACCCGGTTCCACCAAACTGATTATCTGCACATAAGTGACATCGAATAGCATGTGGTTAGTGACGATATGGACTGTTCGATTGATATCAGAGAGGATAGACTGTAATTTAAAGTGTTTGGCAGAGTTGGGCAACATTCTGAAGCTTGGTGCTGATCCGTTACTCAGTCTACTTGAAGATTTTGAACAATTTAAACACTGTTGACGTTATAAACGAAAGAAACTCAGGTCGTCAGGCGTGAAGGGCAAGGTTTGGTTTTCCTTCAGCAAGCTACCTCATTGTACATTCAGCCGCCAATTGACAAAAAGGAATAGGAAGGTAGAGATAGGAAATCTCGTAATTACCAATACAATGTCTCTCATCAACTGGTTCACAACTGCGGGCATGAGATGGAGAAACTCGAAGACAGGAATTTTTTTCCTTTGAAAATAAGAATTTCCATCATTTTGGGCTCTAAATCCGAAAACAGAAAATGTTGACTTCTTCAGCGAACATTATATGCAACAGCCCAGTGATATGCTTGAACGCGGGTTTTCAGAACAGTTCCTATTTTTAAGCTCCTCACCGAAGCTCAATAACGATGGCAAAAGAAATTCTAAAAGAAAAGAAGACGAAAGAGGTGCAAAAAAGAACAAGAGGATAAACCAAGGAGATAATTTCACCCCCATTTCCATTTCCTAACCACTCACCAACCGCCAGAAACCAATCCATTCTACAAAGAAGAATGTACCTTCCGTTCGTATAATCCCCGCAGACGAAATCCAATTACCGACACTGAGCAGCACGAGGACTGCTGCTGCGGTTGCCACGGGCTCGAAAATCCAGCTCCGATGACACGACTCCGCCCTCAAAGATCTCCCACCCAAACACCTTCTCTTGATTACAAACAAGGCAAGAGCAGAAACGTCCCGAATTCAAACTCCAACAGTGGGAGTGGAACAACAAAACCCACTGCGAAAGAGCATCTGGGGCGCGAAACCAACGATAATTCAACGCTCTGAATCGGCGCAGACTCCAAACCACCACCCCGGATTCAACACTCCGGCACCATCCGGTATCTACAACCTTGAAACCCTTCCCAGATTCCAACGAGCTAGTGCCGCAGCAACCCAGTGACAAGCACGGAAGCGGCAACGTCACGAGCGAGCATTGTCCATCATCCAGACCGCAGCGTCGGGATCTAGAAACTGGGTGTGACACTGGGGAAGCCAAGGAGATGGTCCAGGCTCGTTCGCGAAGCAACGAGCCGGAACGTGAAGACGGCGTGTATGAGAGCAACCACCACAGCCCCTTCGAGAAACTCAAAGTTGCGACCACGTCTCACATCTGTGGGCATGATTCTCTCTCACAATTGGGATTTGGTTGACCCGATTCCCTGGAGCTTCTGCCGAAGGCTGTGTCGACGTGTGCAGGCTTTCGGGAGCCCCCACGAGGGCAACGAGGGCCGCGGTTCTCGGTGCGCGTGCGCAGGGGGATGCCATGGCGACTGGGTCGGTGCGCAGCGTGCGCGATCCGCGACGTCGAGATTCTTCCACGCCCTCTCTCGCTCTCTTGCTCTCGCTGTCCCCGACACCACGACGGCCACGACGACGACGCGGTGGCCTCTCTGCTTCCTGCCCGAGCTGCACGGATCTTGGGATAAACATTGAATCCTTAAGAAACTCATGTTATTGTGTGGAGCCTAATTGATACCTGTGACAATTGCGGGGAGGTTAGAGGGAGCAACAAACCTCCCTACGGCAGGGGACAACACGCTTGCGGGGTTGTTTTGGAGGTAGAGCCCTTGGAAGAAAATTATCATTTAGAGTTTGTATGTATCAAGGTTTTCCTTTTTGTAACTATAATGTTCAATGTGGAACACTAATCTTGTAGATTGTGCGTCTCTTTCTCTTATTTGTTTTATCAACTTCTTGCCATGCGTCTTTCTCATTCTATTACGTAGGTCTATTGCTAAAAACTCAAATGGATCCTTTGTATTACTAACGGAAACCAATGTCGTTGAGAATGGAAAAGTTGTTTACAAATAGTAAACTGGAGGTCTTTTTGAAGGTCATGCAAGGCTTCCGGCTGGTGGTTACAACAATTTTGGCCAATAAGAAGACATCTTTGTCGAAACTAATTAAATTTTCTTTGTTAAAATTTATATTTCTCACTACTTCACCAATCGACATTGCACAAAACAAATACTATGCTCAATTTATACACAAATATCAATAGGCGCCGTAGAGATGATATATGATTCCATAAAATTTATCTGTCTTATCACTTAAACGGATGTGGATAATGCTCAAGGACATACTACTGTTAGTAAAGTTTCAATTGCAATTAGTAGTTTCTTATGAGTTTCTCCTATACTAAACATAGACTCTAATGTCTTTGTTTCAATTATTTGTTTGTTTTTGTCTTTATGTTTTTTTTTATGTTATATATATATATATTTGTAGAACTGCAATCATTAGAAACCATCATCTTCTTTTTTGAATGTTTTTAATAATGTATAATTATTGGCATGCTTTTATTCTTAAAAAAAATGTATGATTTTCGAATCAGTAGGTGTTAAAAGTTGAAGGACTTTGATTATTGCCTATATTTTCTTCAATTGTTTTTGACACATGTTCACATGGTTTTAGTTTGGCAAATTTTAAAAATTTAACACAAACATGTTGATATTTTTTTAAAATCTATTTGTTATAACTAAAGTTATAACTAAGATTTAAAATCTATTTGTTATAACTAAAGTTATAACTAAGATTTAGAAAAGATTGTGACACGATTTAATTTTTTTGGTATTAGTATTTGTGTTGCACCTAAATTTGGTCTAAACTTTAAGTGGCTATTACTTTTGAAGTAAAATTTTATTTTATTATATTATATAAGCTTATTAATATTAAGATTTCAAAAAATCAATTGCTCACACCAATGCTATGTATTAAATAAATAGGCATAAATAACAGCAATTAAGGAATTAAAAATAAAAACATATTAGATTATTGAATTAAGTTTGTTTTAAGGTAATATAATCTTTATGCATTAATATTTTTTTAATTATACATTTGAAATATTTTATCCTTCAGTAGCAATAGAACCTTAATAAAACCAACTAAAAACTGCAATAGAATCTGAGTAAAACTAACACAATACATGTGATTCCAGACGTATTGAAAGTTGGAAATTATTTTCAAGGACGATACTACATCTGATGGTTTTATAAATTGTTTTCAAATCCTAAGGCGACATGGATTCAAGTCACATTGCAACTACAAACAAGCACTGAACTTAAAGACTTCAATCAAGACACCTGGTAGCCAAATGAATGAAATCAAACACAATCAAGACAGAGTCTAAAACTTAAATTTCAGCACAACTAAGGTAGGACTTAAAATCAGTGTTAATCCAATTACCAAAACCCTTGATGAACTAACTAAAAACAAGTTTAAGCTACTCTACTTACGGTACAATCAACCACAGTTGCCAAAAATATAGGGGGAGCAATGGTCGAAAAGAAAGCACCTACAGTTGTGCACAGAGTTAAATGTGACAACATTGCTTACAAAACCATTGGCTAAACTCATGGAAAGGGGAGCGACTGAATACAGCTAAAGATAAGCAAGTTAATGATTAACAAGACTGTGAAACTTACTGTAGGTGACGCACTGCTCTGTGATTGCGAAATCCCTGGTGCTGCGATGGATTGTGAGCCAACCGGCCTCACACCTATTGTAAATTTACAAGTTCCTGAGCTGGGATCGGTGGTGGTCACCTGAGCTAATCCTTGGAAATCACAGGCAGATGGAAGCTGGTTATTGAACTGGTAATAGTTGTTAAAGGCATAGGAAGCGTTCTGCTGGAGGGTGAGACCACTGCATGATCCTCCGCTGAATAAAGGTGTGCAATCTGTACTACCACATGCGTAGTCGAGATTGGCCGGCAACAGTGACAAATCCGCGGTGGGCTTCAACACGCACCATTGACGTGGGTAGTAAGGGACGTTCTTCGAGCCCACGAGCGCAGTCTGGGTGCCATCCACACCGCCTGCGCAAGAGAAAACGGGAACAGATCTCAAGGGTACTGCTGCATTTTAATTAACGTAATGATCATGCACAGCCTTGCGCTGATAACAAATTCCATCCAAATCGAAATTGGGTTTGCACACGAAATGCCCTTTTTTTCCTCTGGAAAAATCGCTAGCCTCGTGCGATCGGAAGCGAAAGATGGTGAAGCATCCGACATACCTGTTAGATCTAGAGGATACTTCACAGTTCCATCGAAGTTGAAGATACCCCAGTGTCTTTCAAAGTTGCCAGGAAGAGTGCTCTTGGCGTTCTCGTCCAGCAGGCCGAAGACGTAGGCTTCCAATTTGCCGGGTCGAAGTGGTGTTCCAACCCCACTCTCCAAGTGATTCACCAGCTGCTGATTGAATTTTTGCGCTAATTCTATAGTCGCGTAGTTAGCGCCATCTGTCGGCCAACCAATCTCTCCAACGATTACATCCATGTTAGGATAACCTGCGTTATTCAATGCTACTACAACCCCATCGAAGCTTGCGTCGAATACATTGGTGTAAATTCTAGTTCCGTCGACAAGAGGGGTATTGTATCCTGTGAAGAATGCAAAGTCCACGGGAAAAGTTGGCTGGAGAACTAAGTTGAGGAAGGGATACAAATTGACCACGAATGGTGAATTGGTGCTTTGCAATGCCGTGACGATATCCAACATAACTGGTGCGAGGTCGGCCCGGAATGTTTGTTGAGATGGGTAGGAGTTGTCGCTCAAGATATCTGCGTTGCAAGGAACTACAGCCTTGACCGTCTCTGCAAGGCCAGCTGCTGCGAGCGCCGCCTGCACATTCTTCAGAGCTGGGAGCGTAACGTCGACGTATTTGCCGTTGTACCCAGTCAGAAAGGGTTCATTTCCAACTGCAGCATACCTGCCACAAATAAGCCTAATTAGAGAATTCCTCAAACTCCACGTCCAATTCCAAATTACGAATTCGTTGCTAATTCTAACCTGTGCCATCCGTCTCAATCACCACAACGGTCGTGACACAGACTGATTTTAGATGGGCTTGAATCTTTGGAGGATTAATCGGAGGACAATGCAATCACTAAGTTCAAGATCCTGACACGATTCCTTGGAAATGGAGTTCTAGAATCTCGATTCAGGAAACAATGCATGGGTTTGTAAAACGAGGACACACTTGATATTGACTCCATTATTTCCGAGGTGCGAGGTGACGTTCGCCTTCACCCAAGCGGCAGCAGCGTCTATGCTCGCTGCAATAGTAGCAAGCATATCGTTTGTAATCGCAACCATGACCTCTAGATTTATTCCCCGCATGGACTCAATTACTTCCGAATTCGCATCAAACAGCTTCACTTTGACAAAATTATTATCCTTGAGCATCTGCACCACGACATCATTAGAGAGCGGGTCGCTCGAGATCCTACCCCAGTTCACCCCAAGCTCAGCCACTGCTGTTTCCATGTGCCGTGCCATTAAGCATAGCACCACTATTCCTACAACACTGCTAAAAACCTGCCGTTTGTGCATTTGATGGCCCGCCATCACCACCATTCTATCAAAGTCCTGGCAAACTCTGAAACCCTCCGAAGCACAATCCAGCAACCCGTATAGCTTGTAGACTCACACCACCTACAACACGCTCCAAAGCTCGCAGAATTCCTGAATATCACGTCAGTCCACTGCCCCGCAACTCACGTCCTTCCCCATGCCTGCTCTTCCCACCTCCCACTTCACTTCTACAATATAAGAGTCCTACATTGCTATTGTGATTAAACCAAAGCTACTGGTATCGAGACGCGCATCCTTGAAGCACTTGGAACGCAGGTTTGTAACTCGACACCAATCAGCTCATCATGTGATTGATCTTTCACTCCAAACCCCAATCCACTACCTCTTCAACGCTGCAAGTGAACATCTAGCGCTCCAGAATGCCCCACCAAACTTTCCTGAATGTTGATGTAGTTCAAGCAGAGGACATCGCAACAAAATCAGAGCGGGACGTTCGACAATTTTAGATACGCATCCATGAGCAATCGTGTTCCGAAAAATGAACACAGGCTACACGACTTGGGTGATGAAGTGGGAAGATGATTATATTTAATGTTGTTCATGTTGATGGAATGATAATCCAAGCTGCTACTGTGTCTCTCAGATAGTTGCCCGCCAGAACCAACCCCAACCTGGATCTCCGTGCACGTCGAACGACTTGAATTCGTAACGCGCTCGAAACAAACGGCACAACGAATCTTCCGAGGAAAAGATGCCAGGAAGCAGCGCATTGATTGGACAGGAGCTAGGTCCTGGCTTCATTCACTGGAATCCTCCACCGCGTCTCCGGGAACCCCTAAACAGGTTTTAATACGATCACATGTATTCGGATGCAGCCTACTTGCCAGGCTCTTTCAGAGCAGAATGCCACCACGAATGCCCATCCTCCTTCGGTTCTTACATAAAATGCTCTCACAAGCCTTTCCATCTCATCCCCCCTGCACCTACACACGAACATGCTCGTCGTGTCTAACCATTCCTTGAAATGCACTCAATGCATGCGATAGCTCGAAAACTGACCTGAAACTACCAAGACAAAACACCCGGCTGAGGGCAAACGTTTCATCACAAAAGAAGTAATAACAGCCACCTTGAGACAGACTGTGCTTATTTACCCGTCGCCTTTATCCGCGCTTCGTTGTAGACCTGGCGGCCAGTTTACCACGTTCACTTTTAGGCAGAGTAAATTTGGGGGTTGCACTCAAATGTCCATCGAAATTCGACATTCCCGAGGTTTACACTAGTTTGCTGTTTGCAAAACGATGGATGTAGCTAGAGAGCAGGTTCAGAAGTATGGGGATGGGGAGGGTTTGAGCTAGCAGCGACTCTCGAAGAACGTACAAAGATTTCCCGAGAGAGATTCCGAGACCAAGCCACGCTCAATCATCTCAGGGTGCAGTCAATAATGGAGAATCAAGCATGCGTCAGAAGCAGCAGCAGCGTTGATCGGAGGCGGGATAATGGGGTCGTCGAAAAGTGGAAAGGCTGGGGGTGCTTGGAGCTTGAATAATTGGTGGGGAAAGTGGAGTGAAAGGCACTGCGGGGACACAGCTAGTTTGATTGAGCTGCTTGCTGTGCATGCGTACTTGTGAGATCGGTGGAGTGGAGGCAATGCGGGACCCAGCGTGATGGATCGTGATGGCAAAGCTGGGGAGGGGGGTTGAAGAGTTTATTCAAATTCATTTCTTGCGGTTGTTTCATGAAAACACATTCTGTATAGCCATCTTCAAAGTGTCAGCGAACTCCATTATAAATGATAGTGTACAAAGTTTCATTCTGGTGTTAGTCTCACTTGAAAATCAACACTGTGTAACCTGTACGGTGTGAAAAAACACTTCTGTTCTGTTGACAGCTTTTAATTTGTGAGAGCAGAATCCTTTTGGCTTTTCAAAACATTTATTTATATCAATATCATTTTTAGTTTTGTGTTCATGTATGCACACCAAACATGCTACATTGTTCACATATATATATGTACATATCAGCACGCACACACAAAATAGTAACTAACACAATTGATATGCTTCAGTTAATCAATCCAAAATTAGAAGTTCCAGGGCGAAACGCAAGTCTGTACAAAGAAACGAAACAAAACAAAAACATGAAAAGGAGAAAAGTCAACGCCTGTGGAACGACAGAATATAGTTCACCAATTGGATGCAGGAAGTCACATGAAACAATGAAAAGAGTTCACGAATCGGAGTTCAAAGACCAACTGCATGGGTGTCATCAATCGTCAACGATTCTGCAAGCTAGTTAAGGTTTCTACGAAATGAATTAAATGGTTCTTATGACCGAGAGCGATCCAGTCTCCATGATTGAACGAGATCGTGAGTCACTTCGATGTCTTGATTCAATACGTCATTTGTAGGGTGATTGTAGATCTCATCTACCAGAAATTCATTGGAAGCAGTCATGTATGAGAAACAAAGTGGTGGACTGCATCGAGACGAGCGCCTGCTGCAACTGTGCAGTTTCACGACAAAAGAAAACAACAAACAAAAAAGACCAAATAGTCAATTAGGACCTGTAAAAAAAAGACATGAGCTGAAGACAATCTCAGTCTGGTGCAGACGTCGATGCAGCGTCTACTCTAAGTTACTGAAAAGGCTGGATGTGGGGGCACTGGTGGTGCATTGTCACAAATGAGACGATGGTGCGATTTGACGAATCTGACGCTACATGAAGGCTCTTTTCGAACTGGCACAACCAAGATAGAAAATGGTTCTACATAACAAGGGCATAAAATCTCACTTCATGTCGGTTGACGTTGCTGGAAGGACTACAGACTGGGGCTCACCGCCACCAAGGATCTCCATCCTAGAATTTCAACGAGTGAAAGTGGCAAAATTTTTAACAGGTAGATGACAAACATCTGGTGTGACCTGTTGAATTGCTCTTCCTAAAATTCCGTGCATGCTTACAGCTAGGATACTAGTGTTGGAGCGCTGAAGCTCGTAGGTAACGTTTGCTCGAATATGTGCCCAGGTCGCAATATGCTTTCCTGTAAAACAAACGTTGAACACTTGTAAGAGTTGACGAGAACGCCAATCTATTACAAGAATAAGCTAATGGTTAAAGAAGCCAAGAGTCGGTTTCCCTTGACCAAAAGCAAAGACACAAACTGAGTGAATCCTTAGAGAGTTTCAGGAAACATACCTCTCTAAATGCTGGACCAATCATCTGAAGACCGACTGGAAGACCAGAAGTTCCACCTTTCGCAAGACCACAAGGAACCACAAGAGCAGGGAGTCCAGCAAGGTTCACATTCACCTGTTCAATATAAATACTGTAAATACTTGTCATCAAATTACACTTAAGGGACGCTAATTTAAACTCTTAATACCCGGTCTTCAACCTGGAGACGCAAATCAAATAATTAATTGGCCTATTGTAAGAAATCATAACATCAAGTGCAAGGCCAGATAAATGAACTATTGCGCTGCCATAGGGGAATCTATATCAGTATACTGATTCTCAGAGAGGCCTACGAAGTGAACGTGGTTAAGACCTCCTTACCGTCATCAAATCTCCAACATACATGGCCAATGGATCATTCACCTTCTCGCCTGCAAAGACATATGTAAAGATAGATGAGCACCTCTGTGCATCATATTTAAGTTAATATGTGGTGAGTATCAATCCTGTTTATGGTAGTCTAAAGACAGTTTTGGGTACGGTGCAGAACGTAACCTTGTATGTCTGCCCAAAAAACATAACGTCAATTAGAATGCACTTACCTATCTTATAAGCGGCTGTAGGAGTCACTGGTGAAATAAGCAAATCAACTTCTTCGAGGGCATTTTTGAAATCCTGCTGAATTACTGTTCGCACCTGATCCATCCCAAGTGAAGGACAGAAACATCGGTAGGGTCAATACTTAGGAGACATTTGATCACCCTAAAAAAAGCCCATCGGTATAGAGAATATTCTCTTAGTTAAGCAAATGTGGTTGTGAGCTGGCATGCATAACACTGGTTTGTTTCCCACGGTTGATTGTCATATTCAACCGGCTCTATTAATGAGACTGACGACCAAATCCACATACCATTCTGTTCATGAAATACTATACAAGTCAAGTCCAAACCTGTTGAGCTTTCTTGTAGAATGCATCATAATAGCCCGCTGACAAAGCGTAGGTCCCCATCAAAATCCGCCGCTTCACCTGTAAAGTGCATCGCAACGAATCGTTCAGTTTTCAAAAAGTTCGATTGAGAGGAAAAAAGTTGGGGTGTTAAATATACTAGAAATACCAGCATTTAACTCTTCAACTTAATAGATTCCACATCAGTAGCTTTTTCAATGTATGGTTCGTTGTGAAATGTAAGATCTTCCACACTTTTACAATTTCACAATCCAATTTTTTTTAAGATCTTTAATTACCTCGGGACCGAAACCCAGAGCACGAGAGTTGGCATACATGGACATTACTTCTTCACCATGGGCACGTGGCCCATACCTGTCCAAATTCACAACGGCAATATAAGCAAGCATATAAACGGAAATGAAGTAGTCTATCGTGTGTAAATATGCATGACAAACTTAAGTTATTTACTGCAATCGGCTGCAACCGAATCACTAAACTGGTTAAAAATGTAGGGATTGTTTTGAGGGTAATCTCATGCACGTACAAGCACCTACTCAAATAACAAAAAAAGCCACACAAGATCGACTTTACATACTTAAGATGCCTTGTTCTGAAATTATTGAGTGAGATACCTGACACCATCATAGCGAGCGAGGTTCGACGAGGCTTCTGAAGTTGCCAGCACATAATACGCTGGGAGACCTAGTGAGAAATTGGGCATTGCTACCTGAGATCCGCATTATAACAGTCATAGTGAATTTTCTTACTCAAAAAGAATTTCCTGAAAAACAAAGGCATCAAATAATTAGATCTTGCAAATTACGAACTCTTCTAATGAAGTGTAAAACATGAAAGCAAGCACAAAACCCCCTCACCTCTCGCACAGAAGCACCGAGGCTCTCTAAGTGCGTTACAGCTTGTTTAACAGCTGATAGAACATCCTCAACGACACCGTCAGCAATAGTCTCACTGATGATACCAAACCTAATACCAGCCAACGGTTTGCTACCAAGATCATCAATTGGAAGTAGGTTGGATGTATAGTCTGGGACGTCCTGCACTCCAATCCAAAATGTCTAAGAAATCCATCATGAAATAACCTCAGCATAAACAATAGTTGCTATTTCACCGTGAATATAAAAGAAGCGACTATAACCAATGAGACGATCAGTGGTGGTAAGTTAACAGCTGGATGACGATACCAAAATGCTTAAGACTCCTCGAGTGGCTAATAAAAATGCAACTTGTTGGTGAAGTTTATATATTATAGATAGAGCCATAAACCCTAAGCCAGTTATCTTTCTGTGATACGATAGGTGTTGGAAACCCTAAACTAAAGATATCAAAATTTTATTGCACACAAGATTGAATAGCCACATAACAATTTGTTCGACCTCGAATATCGTCATTTATGTAATGCCACACTATGGAGAATTGAATACACAAGATCAGATGAGATTGTCATACAAGAATTGCTCACCTGCGGGCTACATGTGGAGTCGTTCTTATCAGCACCAGCAATTGCTTCCAGAAGAATTGCAGCGTCCATCACCGAGTTTCCGAAGCATCCCACAACATCAAGTGAGGAGGCATATGCCATCAGACCAAACCTAGAAACACGACCATAAGAAGGCTTCAGTCCAACAACCCCACAGAAACTTGCAGGCTGCCGAATGCTGCCCCCGGTATCACTTCCAAGCGCCCCTGCACACTGGCCAGCTGCCACTGCCGCAGCCGAACCGCCTGAAGAACCTCCAGGTACTCTTGATAAATCCCAAGGATTGGCAGTCACCTGCACTATGAGAACCTTAGCATGATTACAAGCCTAATTATTGCATGTGCGCTCAAGAATATTAAGTTTCCATAATTATGAAACAACTCCTCCGTGCAAGAGTAGATTTCAAAAGACTACTGCAGGGTTAGAGCATTACCTGATACGCGGAGCCTTCAGTAGAGCTACCCATTCCAAACTCATCCATATTGGTCTTTCCAACCAGAATCGCCCCAGACGACCGCAGTTTGGCCACAGCGGTTGCGTCATACGGAGGGTAATACCCTTGTAGTATTCGAGATCCACCGGTACTGGGCATGTCCCGAGTGCACAAATTATCTTTCACTCCTAGCGGAACTCCTGCTAAGGGTCCAATTTCCCGACCCTCCGCCACCCTTCTATCCAATTCCTGCGCATCCTGTAGAGCCTTCTCAGACACATGCAAGAAGCTCCGCACATGGGGTTCCTGTTCCCTCAGCTTCACAAGGTACGCTTCGGTAACCTCCACAGCGCTCTTCTCCCTTCTCACTAAACTCTCTCGGATTTTCCGAATCACTGATACAGGTCTTTGTTGCGCTCCCTCCGAGCATTGGCTCACAGACTTCGAGGGGGTGGCCGAGCGATGGACTTCCCTGCAGCCACTTCCCAGATTCGAGTGCAGCACGATGCGCAAATTCGAGGCATCGAAAACTTGTGAATGCTGGATCACATACCCTGGGCTTCCCACCTTGCGAACCCACGTCGGGCGGGAATGCAACATTGCCATTGATTGCTCACACTCTCGAGTAACCTCAAACCCAGATTGCAAGTGCAAAGAATGTGATTATGTTCCAAAATGCTCAGCATCCCAATGATTGCCGGGACAGCGTGCCCCGAACAAGGAGCTCATAGCGGAATCTGAGACCTGCACACTCGTGTTCGAAATGTGCATCTGACTCACTTTCCCTTCTCTCTTCTGTTCGATCCTCCGGCAGAGGCATCGTGATGAATGCATTCGGTTATCATCTGTCATTGGATATTCAACCATTCGTTAAGGACCCAAATATGGCGTCCTAAAGTTTTCAAGCTGAACCATCGTCTGTTGTGACAACACAAGCTATAGCATTACAACGCCGACGATACTTCATATCGTTGCTACGCTTCCATGCAATTAGGTCTAAGTCTAGTGTTAGCGTGCAGGACCAACAGCTTACTAAACCGCTGAATTAGGATCAGCATCCGTCTCCGAAGCTGCGGTAGCTCTTCGTTGCTGTCGAAAGGATACAGATTAAACCCAGCAACTAGTTTCCACGATTTACTCGCACCGAAAAGTTGCATGGATATCAGTAACCCCTAGACTATTCAAAGAACAGGTCAGGGAGAAACGTTGCCGCGGAAATTACGTTAGTTCAACAGCACTGTAGGTCACGGTCTCGCGCCTGGCGTTGGCGGCAGTAGAATGCACGATTGAAGCTCCGCTGTTCCAAAAGGTTAACAAATTGTCCATCTACCTGAATGTCATTGAATACTACATCAATTGGTTTGCAATCTGGCACGACGGAGTGATTCGGATTCGAAGCAGAGGAACGATCAAAATCAAATCAGAGGGCCATCAATCATCTTACACTTTCGAAAAATATCCTAGGGAGATAGTCTTCACACTAAGCTCTTGAAGTGATGTGCATTGAAAGTAGAGATGGTTTAGAATCTAGGAAAACGATATATCTTTACCTTGTGCATGATCTCCGACAGTGAGGTCTCCTTGGAAACACTTGCGTCAGCATTCCGCAGCGAGTTGAGCACACCTTTACAAACCTCCGTTGGTGCGAAGTTGTCTCGGATTCCATTTCATGAGAAGTGCAATACCGCACCGCGTTCTCACGAAACCCTTTCGAGATAATTGATCATTTTAGGGATGAAACAAGCAATCTAAAATGCGAAGTGTGTGAAGGAGTACAAACATGCAGAAGAATTTTGTAGTAATGTTAAACTTCATGTTTTTCTCGTACAAACACGGCCTATGACTGCAAGTGGTGACACTCGAATATTGACGTGAAGGATTTTCTGTAGAGCCATTTGTTGCCATCGTCCTGGCCAACTTCTCCGCGTCCATGCCCCACCCAATTTCTTTAGCAGCTTTCTAGACCTCTGGTTTGTCGGTCAATCCGCATTACCGCCTGGTATCCTGGCATAGCTGTTGAATGATCTTAAGAATTGGACAAAGTCGATCGAGGGTTGAGATTTGTGGGGACCTGCATCCGATGGCGGCACCCTCTGTGAATTTGGGCGGTATTCTCGGCGGAAGAATTCCTTTGTAGCTCATAGAGTTACCTTTCATCCCTTCTCTCGTCACAATTGTTTGAGGTCCAAGTCCTTTCAGTGTCGATAACTTCGAGGTATCGATTTTCGTGCCACTGAACATTGCGTCGTTGTTTTGCGATTATCCTCTTGTGGACCCAATTGCCTCAAGTTTTCCTTGACTCACACGAGTAGGGTTAAGTGATGGGTCATTCGAAGAGTCTCTGCAAGCTTTTGACATTTCGAATTGATGCATCCTGCGAATTGATGCATGTACACAGCTATTACGTTTTTGGCTAGTTCGAAATCGATGCTGGATGTCTAATTTATCCTTCAACTGAGTTACCGACCTCGGCATTGTGCTTACTGCAGAGAGTTGCTCCGTTATGGAGAGTAAAAAGTTTGAGAAATATTTTCGAATTGCACATGTGGGAGGTGAGGGTGTGCTCCACAGCTGCTTGAAGTTGTACGCGTTTGAGCTGAGCAGCAGTCCTCAGTCAGACGACCTAGCTTTTCATAACTTTTTTGCGGCTCCTCACAGGTTAGAATCTGTTACTCTTGATTCCTGCAGGTTATTCAGTGATTGCTCAATTTCGCACTTCCTCGTCATTCCCAATGTACTATTTCCATGGAAGAAACTGTCCTATGATACCTTTTCGTTGCCTTAAACTGTTTCAACTTCTGTGAAGCTGGCAACCATGGCTGAAGATGTCCTCTCAACTTGCTGCGAACAAGGATAAATTCTCTACTTCCATGATTCCATTGTGATGGCCAACAACAATCCCGAAGTGGCATTGCACGCACCCACCTCATTCAGCCCATGGACCCTTCGCTGATGCCTGGCTTCATGCGAATTGTTCCGTGAGGAACGGAGCAGGATGGTCCGCCCCACATCGATTGGATATTGACGACTGGGCAAGTATACAACGTTATATTCCCCGTCGAAACATTTCTCTTCGGAGACATCTGATAAAATTGGAATGATACAGAGAAGAATAACATGGCCCCTGCGCAATGACTACACGCACAAATCGAGATATGGTCCAGATTTTGTTCCACTTTCTTATCTGGTTTGCGAGATTAACCGCCTTGGTGATTTTCCTTGTTCGAAACCGGCTGCTCATAAGTATTGGGGTCGGTCAGTTTCAACCAGCAAAAAATTCCTAAAATAGGTCAACATCGAGAAAGCATTTCCTTCAGCCCTAATGTCGGTTTCTTATCACGGTCTTCATTATTTTCACGTTTAGCTAACCATTCTACAGTATAGGGATGCGTTTCCACTGATTCTTTAGTCAACTTTAAAGAGTATTTGCAGCATCAAATCTGCAAGATAGACACCCTGGCTGCAGAATACAAGAAGCAAAGATGGGGATTCTGAGGATTATAACAGAAGGCCCCTTCATGGGTACCTTTGCTGTAATCAATAGGCCCTGTTTATAACTGATCGCACGGTCAGATGACAGTGGGTCTGACAGACGAGGGTGGCCCAGGGTTTTAGGGTTTGGAGATCCTCTGAAGTACGAGCTCTGTACCCAAGGCCTAGTTTCTGTGGAAGTTTGTGTTACTTTTGTGTTGCGGAAGCTCCTCACACAAGCTTCACCATCATGGTGCACGTCGCGTCGTTTCGTAACTGTGAGTATCAATCTTCTAGCTGTTTCTGTTCTGAATTTCATGTCGTTTTTCCCCTGCACTCGATCTCGCAATGTCGTTGAGTTCTCGGGTGGGCACGAGGATTTTGTTTGTGCTGAGTGTGTGCTTGAGGGATTGGCTGTTGTCGCGGCAGTTTTGTGGAGGAAAGGGACGGTGCACCATTTATGAGAGGATATAGAACTATGAGTAGTGCTCTTTCTACGAGATGAGCCGTCGGCTCATGCGCTGATTTCGTGATTTTTTTTTGTGCTCTTAGATGGGAAGACCTTCAAGAAGCCACGCAGGCCATTTGAAAAAGAACGTCTAGACGCTGAGCTGAAGCTCGTAGGAGAATACGGTCTCCGCAACAAGCGTGAGCTGTGGAGGGTCCAGTACGTGTTGAGCCGTATCCGCAATAATGCGCGTATGCTGCTTACTCTTGATGAGAAAAACACCCGCCGCATTTTCGAAGGAGAGGCTCTCCTGCGACGCATGAATCGATATGGACTTCTCGATGAGAGCCAGTGCAAGCTCGATTACGTTCTTGCTCTCACTGTTGAAAATTTCTTGGAGCGACGCCTGCAGACTCTTGTTTTCAAATCTGGCATGGCCAAGTCCATCCACCACGCCCGGGTGTTGATCAAGCAGAGGCACATTAGGTGAGATTGACGTTTACACGCTTCTTCCCTCAACGTCTAGCGGTTGCCCCGCGTCTTAAATCTATTTAGGATTACTGAACATCTCTAACCAATGATCACGTAGCTGGATGGAGCTTGTTTGCAGAAGTGGTTGGGAATTGTTTTTGGACCTAGATAACTTTCTGATACAAACACCAAAGACTACCTGGTTTCAACCTATGGATATGTACAGCTGATATATCTTCCGGAATACTTTCCACTTGTTTCATTCATTATATTTCCAGGAAGTCATTGTGCATTTTTGCGTTGGTTTTAAATTGTTCTCTGTGTGGTTGAACAGAGTTGGAAAGCAAATTGTTGATGTTCCATCATTTATGGTCCGACTTGAGAGCCAAAAACATGTAGACTTTGCTCTGTCTAGTCCTCTTGGTGGTGGCAGACCTGGAAGAGTGAAACGAAAGTACATGAAGGCTGCATCCAAGAAAGCCTCAGGTGGTGATGACGAGGACGAGGAGGACGATGAGTAGATACAAGGACACTTCACGCTTACCCGGGGACTCAGTTCTGTTGTGAAGGCATATTTTCAGAGGTTTTAAGAAGTAAAAGTAGTGTTCGCAACGTGTATATAACTCTCTGCAACTGACCTGATAGTAAAATTTGATTTTTCGATTCTGTACATCCTCCGTGTTCAGCAGATCCTCAGTAATAGCTTGGGTTCGAGTGTCAAACATATCTTTTTAAGTTGGTTTCGAACCCTGTCACGGACCTGAACTGTGATTTCTGCTGCTCAACCTTGTCTTGGCGACCTCTGGTGGCTAATGTTCTTGTTATTTGATTCGTTATGTTTGCCTGGTTTATAGCTCGAAGGAAAGTGCAACTGGGTTTTCAGTTGAGTTTAATTTACCCTTGTTGAAGAAGCATTTGCAAAGATAGTGGCTTATTTTGCTTACAGACTTGAAAAGATTTATTCTAAACGTCTTGTGGACCCTCAGAGGTCCTTAAGTCTAAATTTTTGGAACGGAGAGAGACTGCCATGCAAAGAAGTCAGAGTTGTTCATTATCGAATGCAATATTGTAGATGTGCACTTTCCAAAGCCGTTTGAGTGAATTGCCTACCTTGAGAGTCAACTATTTAGATCTTAGTCTTGGAACTTTTCATGACAATATCAGTGTTTTTGGTTGCTTTGAATTTGTGTGTCTGCTTTAGTTGTAGCTGTCGTGAAACATTTTTATTGCATTCACGAATTGTACATGTGAACGAGTCCTTGTCAAACATTCTTTTGAAAAAAGTTTTTCGAAGTAAGACTGAACACCAGTAATTTGGAGATCTAAAAATAGAAAATGGAAGAGAGATTTGTGTGCGTAACAATCGATGATGAGGTAATTTTACATTTGTCAACCAAGGAATACTGACATTTTTGTTTGCACTGACAATGGTTTTGGTATGATGTTAAATGATAATAAAAACCCTCGCGTACATTTATTTACAATACGCTAAACTTTGATCTCGATGAAGTCCACAGAAAGACCATTCGGGATATCGAACCTCATTTTCACATTTTTTCTCCAACTTTCGGAACTCATTGTATCTGGGCCACTTCTATTATTTAAAAGCATGTCCAAATATCTATAATCACTCAAGTTTATTAATTTTCAATGATCTAATCAGTATCACTTTTTTGTTAAAATCGAGGAATAATTACCTCAGACAGAGTAAACCCATAACAATTCTTCGTCTCTATCGATTTATTTAATACTTTGAAAGCCAAAGAAATCATGACAAGGATGCAAATTAACTTAATCTGAACAGGGCATATCCCACAAATACTCATAAAAATCCTAGATGGTCCAAAAAATATTCTTCCGTTCATTCTTCAAAAGATGCACATTCCGTGTGGCAAACATTTCATCGAAATCTCAAGATAACATGTCCGTTCAACTTTGAACACACAAGAATATTCGTTTCCGGGAAGTCAGAAACGCGTTAAGTTGCTATTGCCACCGCTGAAGGAATGAAATTCACTAACATTCCATCTAAAAGTTTAATTTATTTCACAGTAATATTTCAAAAAAAAAAAAAAAACAAAACAAAACAAAACAAAACAAAACAAAATACTGTACAACACTTCGGAATCCCACTGCAACAGATTTGAGCGAAGTGGTGTAAATCTCTTAACGCGATAGCACAGCAATTGTAACTGCTTCTGACAGCAAGGATTCTCCCATTTGTCTGCAATAAAAAAAAAGGTAACTCAAAATAAAAAAAAATGGCTCAAAACATGAGAGGCTGTTTAATGTGGAGGAGTAACACGGGAACCGAAACACCGCCAAACGTTTTCTAAGATGCCGCGCTCTTCGAAGCCATTCTCGTCGATTCCCATCCTCTGAGCTTAATTTGCTTCTCACCAATTCGCACGCTTGGGCTAAGCCAATGCCAGCTTCGAGCTTCCTTCCACGTCTTGGCGACAGCATTTTTATATATTCGCTGGGAAGAGCTTACGGCTGCGCCATGAGCGGCGGGAGTTTCTAGCATTGGAGGTGCAATGCGTTGCAGCGTTTGTCCGTGTGCTTTTTTTTATTTTTGGGGGGTCGGTAGTTTGTTTTCATGAGTTGTGCTCTGTTGCTACTAGTTTGCTTGGATTATCGCCTTTGATGAACAGTATCGGGGCGGTTTTGATGTTTTGCGGGCTGGGAACTGGACGTGGCATCGACTCTGAGAAAGTTTTTGAGAGTTGGGGTGGTGGGGGTTTTTCTCTGTTGATTGCTCTGAGCAAGGACTTCAGGTTTTCTCTTAGTTTTCTTCGGAAATCTCTGCTGGTAATTTAGAAGCTAGGCTCTGATTCGTGGGCTCATGTATGACTTGCTCCGTTTCTTGCATTGGAACGATATTTCGTGTCGTCAGTATGCAATCACAGGAGGGTTTGGTTTACTGTTATTTTCTGGTCTGTGGGAGGATTTTTGCTCTCGTCTACGATTTTTTAAAAGAGTCTCATACATGAATGAGTGGGTGGCATTTTTATTGTTACTTTTTATGTCGCTTGTATCAGAAATAATCCTTTCGAGTTCAATACGCGGTATGAGAATTTGTTGTTTCTCATTTTGAATAATTTCATATTCAGGAACTTGAGAGTGGCTGCTTTCGAGTGTTAGTGTTCTAAGAAATTGGAGATAGTGAGCGCAATCTTGGCCTGCGTGGGTGCAGAACAGAGAAGAATGGCGATGTCGGATTCAGGTACAGGATTTCTTTTCTCTCGTTGGGCGAACTTTCACCTCTTAGCTTCCGAAACTGATTGTTAGGGTTGATTGTCGGACTGTAAGTATCTGTTTTTTCATTGCCAATGAATGTACTGTGAAGTTTCGGTGATGTTTGCTACTGTTGAGTGCTTAGCGGGCTAGGGTTTGGCGTAGTGCGAGTGTCGGAGAGGTATTTATGAGAGTGGATCATTCATCTATGCTTTTATGGTTAATCACGAATAGTATCTACTATAAATTCAAAATCTTTAGGAGTTTGGAAGTCGCGATGCAGAGATGTGATCGTGGGACATCGGGCATCTTTATGTTCTCATTGTAAAGACCTCTGTACTTTCTGTACAAGAACCATCTTTTCTATTGCCCATGCTATTTACACAAGCTCCATTTGACACTGTAGCAAATATTTTTGATATAATACTAATAATAGAAAAGAGAGGGTTATGCTTCTCAACTGGCGAAAGTCTTTAGATATTTAAAAAAGCTCTTCTTTCACCCCCTCATTTTATGATTGTCATGGAATTCTACGTAGAAGGTATCCTGTGCACTTTTTGAGGGTTTACAGAACGGGTATTCAAGAGTGTTATGCTAAGCAGTGCCATATTGTACTACAATGACACTGAAGTCTGAATCTTCTTTGTAATTTTTTGGAACTCGTTTGGATACAGGGGAGCTTAGCCAACAAATGTATGTCAACGATGTTCAGGTATCTTATACAAATTCTCTCTTCTAGCTTCTCGTCCCCCCCTTTTTTTTTAATGAGAAGACTGCAGTGATTAGATTAGTTCAGAGCTGCGAAGAGATTCGAAGTGAACTTGGAAATAAATGGAACGATATTCCTGTGCTGGATTGTTGCAATTTCTTGTCGGGCTATTCTGTAAAGATTTTCTGATCGGCAGATCCTTTGAATACAGAAAGAGAAGGTTCTCATGGTGGGGGCTGGTGGTATTGGTTGCGAGCTTTTGAAGACGCTAGTGCTGACTGGTTTTAAGCACATTCACTTGGTCAGTTACCCTGTGTGCTCTCGGCAACTTTCTTCGCTCTTATACATTTTTAAAACATGCTATTGAACAGCGCTTCTATTTTATTTTACTTTGAAGTATATCTGGTCGTACACAAGAAAGAACTATAGCACCCACGTTGATCACAATTGTTACAGATTGACATGGATACTATAGAAGTGAGCAATCTCAACAGGCAGTTTCTCTTTCGCAAAAGCCATGTGGGACAGTCAAAAGCAAAGGTATGTTGCAGTTCTTACTGGTGAAATAATTGATGCACTTGGTTGGATTTGGCCGCGACTTGATTAGAGACTCTTCTGTGCAGCATGTGGAAGAGGTAATTAAAATATCTTTAATTTGATTTAATTAAAAATAAAAAAAAATTTCTTTTTCCGTTAGGGAGGTTTTCATTCGAAATTCCCGTTGCAGGTGGCGCGTGAAGCAGTTCTCAAATTTCGGCCTGGAGTAGAGATAGTTGCTCACCATGCGAATGTGAAAAACCAGGAGTTTGATATAGATTTTTTCAAGCAATTTAGTGTGGTCTTAAATGGCCTGGATAACCTGGACGCACGGCGCCATGTGAACCGCATGTGCTTGGCTGCAGGCGTACCTCTGGTGGAAAGTGGTACGACTGGTTACCTTGGCCAGGTAAGTACACGCTCTCGTCTGTGTAGTTATTCCAACGCAAATTTTTCAATGCAAGTGCTTTTTTCTTTCGAACCCCTTTCAACTTTTCACATTTTCTTACATATTATTATTCTCAAACTGCAGGTGACAGTACACATTAAGGGACGGACTGAGTGTTATGAGTGCCAGCCTAAGCCAGCACCTAAATCTTATCCAGTTTGTACCATCACGAGTACTCCCTCCAAGGTGTGTTTACGTTTCCGTGGTTCATACCTCTTCTTGTCTATCGTCTCTACTAGGTTTTTTGAAACCGGAGGATGATATGAGCATGAAGTATGTGGTACTGCAGCTCCTGTCTTTCTGTATTTAGTTTTCGACCTTCCAGGTCGTCTTTTAGTAGGTGCACCAATGTGTGCGTTCTTCAATTTCCTATTTTTTACTACTTTTTAATTTGATAGATTTCTCCCCTTCTAAACGCTTCAATATATATATATATATATATATATATATATATATATATATATATATATATATATATATATATATATATATATATATATATTCTTCTTTGCAGCTCATTCACTGCATTGTATGGGCCAAAGAGTTGGCGCTGGCAAAACTATTTGGTGATAAAGGTCAAGTTAGTGATCTGGACGTACGATCCACGTCAAATGAAGACAATGCAGTTAGTAACGATCCAGATGAAGCAGAGTTCTTTGAAGTGCGGAGCGGAGAAAGCAATAGGTCATATGCAGAGCGTGTGTTCAATCGAATATTTGGTCAAAATATTGTAACTGCTCTCCAAAACGAGGACACTTGGAAAGCAAGAAGGCGGCCTGACCCTTTGTTCCTGGACAAAGTTCTCACTGAAGAAGATGCGGCGACACAAAATAATGCATCTTCTAATGATGGTACAGTCTCTGCCATGGCGTCCTTGAATTTGAAGAACCCGCAAGAGATCTGGAGTGTGAAGGACAATGCAAGGGTTTTTTTGGAATCGATTCGACTGTTCCTTGAGAAACGAAGCAAGGTGCGTTTCTCTTTGATAAAAAGTTGGGACGTCACAGTTGAGCGTTTAAGTTACATTTTTAATTTGTTGCTACAGCTTTGGTTTCTTTTTTTATCCTTCTTTAACAGTACGTTGGCTGCAGGATGTTGGGAAGATTGTCTTCGACAAGGATGATCAGTTGGCGGTAGAATTTGTGACAGCTGCTGCCAACTTGCGGGCACATTCTTTTGGAATCCCTATGCAGAGTGTCTTTGAGGCAAAGGGCATGGCCGGCAATATCATTCATGCCATTGCCACCACCAATGCGATCATAGCAGGACTTATTGTTCTCGAAGCTTTGAAACTTCTCAGCAATAGGACCGAGGAGTGTCGGTCTGTCAATTTTTTACCTCCATTTTTCGTTCTATGATTGCGTTCTTAATCTGGCATCCTCTATTGAATTTTCATTTATCTATGAGGAAATGATTTGTGAAGAGACTACCTTGTGACGCAGGATGACGTATTGTGTGGAGCATCCTTCAGGAAAAATGCTGCTGATGCCAGTAGAGATGGCTGAGCCGAATCCTCGTTGCTATGTCTGCTCTGAGGTAGGAACCTGGCTTTTCTTCGTTTTCAGTAATGGGTCTTGGGGCTTAATACGACCAAGTTCTGGAGGCTAGGTACTTTGCCTTCTGTAAAACTTGGGAGGTGGAGATGTTGTTATGTTAACATCCCCTAGAAAGTTATAGCGGTCTAGAGAAATGCAAGAAGCTAGCATTTTCCACCTTAGGTTGGAGTTGGCACTATAATTCTGGTTATCGAACCTGGCTTCTTGTTGTGATTCTTAGTACCAGACAAATAACTTCGTGATGATATGTGGGAATAAGAGTTACTGATTATTCGTGAAATGTGCTGGTAACGTGGGAGACCAGACGCCATTAGTGTTGGAACTGAACACCGCTACGGCTACAATGAGGGAGGTGATCGAGAAGGTTGTGAAGCGCAAGCTAGGTGTCACGGATCCTGTTATCATGCAGGGTGCAACTCTTCTACACGAGGCAGGTGAAGACATTGAAGAGGACATGGTGGCATACTACAGAGCTCTTCTTGACAAGGTTCTAGAACACTAACCCTCTGTACAAATCTTCAGATTTTCTTATTGATTGATAAGAAGGCAATTGTCAGTGCGCAGCATTGTTTTTGCAAATAAGGACCATGGACTTGCCTGAAATTTGCGAGATTCGCTGTCCTCTGGTTCTTACTTAGCTGCAATCGCTGTGTGATGGAGCAGAAGTTCGTAGATTATCCGACTCCCATTACGACAGGTGTGGTGTTGACGGTTGAGGATTATCATCAGGATTTCCGATGCAGCCTTCATGTCAAGCACAGGTATCATTATTCATGAAGCATGATACTATAGTAGTGATTGAATTACAGTGTAGCTTAGATGGTCTTGTCTCAACTTCGATAGACTTATTTGTGATATGATACTATACAGGGATACTTTTGACGAAGAGAAAGAGCCAGAAGGGATGGTTCTAACCGGTGATCTAGCCTCCCTCAACACCACAGAAACTGCAGCTGCTCCGACGCCTGCACTAGATGCTCCATCAAAAGCTGAGAATGGACATGCTGAAGAGGAAGAGGAAGATGAAAATGTTGTCATGGTTGAGCCTGCACCGAAGGCGGCTACTGCAGGCACCAAGAGAAAGCTCGAGAATGAGGAGACGCACCCAACGGAGAAGAGGTTGAGAGCATCAGAAGCCGTTCCAGTTGAAGTGTGAAAAGGAATAATGGAGGGTGATTTATGCCGTTTTTCTCTTATAGAACAAACAGGATAGTGTCCAGGTTTCAGATGTGCAAACATCTGGGGTGATTGAGACTTTGCTCCTGGCGATTTTCTTCTGGTCGCCTGCTTTTTCTCGCCCATTTATGGCTTGCTGTAGGGCGTTTGGCACACGTGAGTGATATCACTTGCAGATCCACAGCAAAGCAGACACTGTTCTAGTTTCAGTCGAAGTGGTCGATGGAGGGGTGTACGCACTAGAGTGACCTTGAAGCTGAAGTTTTCTGTATGCATTGTGACGTGCACTTTCGCAATTGTCTGCCTGGTTCTAAGCCCCTGAATTGTTGTAAAAGAAAGTCGCTTTTTTGGTTTTTGCCGCATCATGTTGTTGATGGTTGGATTCCATGCCAGTTTCTGAACGCTTTGGTCTTTCTTGGTCGTTAACAACCCCGGTTGCATCTTCTGCTTTATTTAATTCGAAGATTAGATTACCCGGCCTCTTCAAATAAGAGCCAATCGCGCTATGGAGCCATAATCCGTGTCCCAACAATTGATGGCACTGCTAAAGATGTTGCAAGTTAACCTCAGCTGTTTTCCAACACTTCAAGCAGACCCAATTTTTCTCCAATAGATCATGTCCGTGTGTCGGAGGACGGTACTGATCCTAATTACCTTTGGAATTTTGGAGCGAAGATATCCATTCAGATCAGAGCCTCGGTGTCAACTTGCTTCCTCCACACCGCGAAAAGTGATAATTCTGATGGGTTTCGGATGACGAAGTCGTTCAGCAGTGAGCTTCGACTCTGTTGCAACATCCAATCCTAAGGTGTCTTGCAGTCCAAGGTGATCGACAGTAACCACCAGTCATCACGAGAGTGCGAGGAATCTGGAACATGAACTTCTCAAATTCTTGCGTTAGTCTGTATGGCGTAGCTAGGATTCTGTGACGCAAATTCCAGCGGCGCGGACATGGCGTCCTCAATTCATGTTGGGCAGTCGGTGTACTCTATCCGTGTAATCAAGGCAGCCTCTGCAGGGAAATACTGTGCAGCGGCAAGGAATTTGACAACGTTAGCTCTTCGTACTCGTAAGTCTGCGCGGCAATGTTGTAGAGGTTTAACTTCCCCTCATGTCTCGTTTACGAGATTGGAAAAGCAACAGAGTATTAGAGTCGGTGGCTCTTTCGAAAAACTTACAACCTTGCAGGTGCCGAAGAGATCATGTGCCTCTGGAGTCTGTTCCACTAGGGCTGGGATTAAGAAGAAGATAAAGAAAGCCTTGAATGATTTTGAAATTAGTTTGCAGGAAGAGAGCGCACCAAAGCTCAAGGATGTTCCCTTGAAGTTGGCTGTTTCTATGCCTCTTCGATTGGCATCGTTTGAGGGGCTTTTTCTCGTTGGCTGGGTGGCAAGCTTGAGGGGTTTACTGCCTGGGTCGCGTGGTTTCTTCGCTGCCGCGGATCTCATCCTCTGTAGTGTTATGTTGGCGAATTTTGCTGTCGAGTGGTACGCTTTGGAGCATAGCCGCAGTGAAATAGGTGAATTGCGTCGCGAAATAAATACTCGCAAAATTAAGGCGGCTGGTGCAGGCTTCCTTGAGACCGCTTTCTCCCTAGCCTTAAGTTTTATCCCTTTTGCAAATTTATTTATGTGGATGAGGTTTGCGAGTAAACAAAGGCATTTGCCAGCGAAGCCAAAAGCAGCACTCGTTGCAAGCGCTATGATCTATGAAGGGCCGCGTTTCTTCTCTCTTCTTTTGTTGATAAGCGGTGGATTACGAGTTTTTCTGCAAGTCGCTCTAGTGAGCAATGTTGCATTACTCTTTAGCGCATTGCACCGGCCTTTTGCGGAGGCCCGTGTTAAGAACGAAAAAATTCTCATGGAAGTGTCTAGATCTAAGAGAATAAGCGGCAAGAAGGGACAAGATCAAAAACCTAAGGAGAAGGAGATCAGTGCAGAGGAGAAGGAACGACTCGACCGATTGAGGGAGCTGCAGGAATTCGACATGCTTCTAGCGCAACGATCCTCCCCTGACACTGGGTTATTTTCTTGTAAGGCTTCGCTTGAACCTATCGCCCTCTTCCTCTTCGTTAGCCAACGATTGATGTTACCTAACTGTTCGGAATAGTTGCCTGTCAATGTCGGTTGAACATATGGAATCTCTTTCTGTAGCTACTCCCGACACAGGAAATATGACAAAAATCATAAGACACGAAATTTTTAAACAGAACATACTGTGGCTTTAGCACTCACCCAATGCAATAAGGTCGCTTGTGAATCTTGCACAGTGTGTACCATTGATACAGATCAGTGCGCGGAAAGGATGAATGGCTAGTTGAATTTGGACATGAGTTTAGCACGAGAAGATGGACACTGTCCCCATTAACATCACGCCTCGCCCATGATTGTTGTTGTCAAGGGGGCATGCAAGAAAAAAAATAATTCGGTTAGGACTTCCTTCCGGTTTGTTTCTTGTAATCCACCTCAACCAGCACACACATGTAACGGAAATGTCAACCTGACAAGGGGGTTTGATCGCAAATTTGCAGCTAAGCCCAAGGAATGGTCCGTCGGAGAGACAATGGAGTGGCTAGGTCAGCAAGGGCTTGCAAGATATGCAACCATATTTGTAGAGAATAACATCGATGGCGAGGTGCTTCTGCAGCTCAGTAATGACGACCTCCGTGATGAGCTTAAGATCCAAAGCTTTGGTGATCGGAAAAAGCTGGAGATACTCATACAGCAACTGAAGGATAGATGAGCACCAACGCAATCAGGATGTAAGATGGTATCAGTCGGGTGCTGCATCCTTATTGTTCCTGTATATATCGTCAGTTTTATATAGTAGAGGTTTTAGGGTTTACTTTGGCAAGTACCAAAGCTCTCGAGTTACGCTCTCGTTGCCAATTACACTACTGAATTAGAGTATTGTGAGAGGCGATGCTACCTGTGTATCAGTTAACTAGTTAAGGCTGGATCATGAAGTATCTTTCACGCTCGGGTTTAATGAAGATGATTTTACTCCATTGCATGTGCCTAGCATAGCCCGCTCTAGTTTTTTCGAGTCTGCATTTTGAACAGTCTTGACCGTCCCTTTGTGTGGGTTTCTTTGGAAGTGATTCCTAACGATAACACAGCAACAGAACATGATGTTGTAGCAAGCGTCACCAGCGAAGACTTTGATGCCCTGACGTGCGAGCCTGGTTCATTGGGGACGTATGCGGCGATGGTATCCAGCACGAGCGAATTCACGATGAAGCACTTCGTCACGGCTTTTCCATGGCTGACACTCAAAACTCCCTACGTTTTTGCTGTAGGATGAAATCGCGATCTGATTTGATTCCTCTGCAGGACAATGTCTAATTAATACTGAGGGCATATTCCATCATCCCCCATCTTCGACGACGCCACACTGCTTGCTTCCCCCCCGAATCCACAGCAGGTTGGAAGTCCCTTACAAAAATATTGACCCAAATCAAGCTGGAAATACTTTTGCTACTGTAAAAAGTTGAAGGTAGTAAAATTAGGTGATCGACTAGGATCACATCAAACAAAACTCTGTGTGATCGTTGCACATGGTTTACGCTGCTTCACAATTTGTTGTCAGGCACTTGATGAATTATTTCAGATTGTATTCCTACATACTTGCGTATTCACCCACAAAATACAGCACAGCGACTCTCGATTTCTAATCTAATTTGCTCGTTCATGTCCCTGAACTTCGCCAACTACCAGGTGAGGCAATCTACTGCGCCGGAAAGATTCCCTACAGCTTCTGCACAGGCTCCGGTAGACGTCACCAATGTAATACGAGCTTAGTATCATTGGTTTTGAATTCATGTGGTGGGGGAATCAAGCTTGATGGAGTTCTGACATCCGGTCGATTCGTGGGATACTCTAACCAGGTGTCTATTTACAGGTGTGGATGTTTCCGGTGCGGATTTTGCAAACTTCTATGAAAGTCCAGGAGCTTTAGTCTGCATCAGAGAGTGGAAACGAACAGCATTTATGCTCTCCTACCCACTGATGAGAGACATGGGAAATTTGTTATGGAGTCACACCTTATTTAGAGACCTAACGACAAAGCGTCGCTTTCGGCAAGAAATGTTTTGGGAAGTGGACTGAAAACCACATAAGGAAACGTGAGACAGGGTCCATCTGATTTGTAGGAAAAATGAATGAAAGGTCCGCAAGGGATTGTGGGTGACTAGCACCAGACCACATGTTGAAGCATGATTTGGAGTTTTTATGGCCTCAGGAGACAGTCGAGGGTGAAAGAATGATGCTATGTGGCCAGTTCCACGTAGCGGAATTCGAATAAGCATCCATCACTGCTTGAAATCGAGCCCGCTTGCGCCAAAAATGTCGTGGAAACTGGGATCTTCTCGGGAATTTTTTTATGCTGTTTTATCGCAATTGTGTACTTTATTGTTTGTTGCATCAATGCATTTTGGCTTACATATTTGATACTCCTTGTAACGTACACGATGGAGAACTTGCAATAAAATCTCACATTCTCGTTTGCGTAATTTAACATTCAGGGTCAGCCAGTTGTAAAATTTATTACGACATAGTCGACATACTTGACTGATGATTTCAAAGCCAGATAATTTAATCCTAGAAGAAATATTCGGAGGAATGGGATCTGTGGAGCCAATGGAGGAAATCTTGAGGAGCACCGCGCTTGCAACGGATGGAGATGGAGCCCAAAATCCAAGTCATGGCGAGGAAATTCACCCAAACTGTGAAATCCACGTCGCAAGGATGGGAATGCAAGTTACCTAGTTGTGCGATGGGTGCCACCATATTAAAGTGGAGGAATTTCCAGCAGACCCAGATTTTTTCGCCAGTTAATTTCTACTTTTCGCATCGACACGCGACGTAAAGTTGACGGAAACATGGAGGGGGAGGATTTGAAGGGAGGTGTTGAGCTAGGGAGGCGACGGAACGACTTCCGGATGTGGATCCGACGAAGTAGAATCGTGAGTTTGAGGCCGAAGTGTACCGTGGAAACGGTAGGCATGTGGTAGCCGGGCGACGTGGCCCGCACCTGGATCAGAAACTAGTGCGCGGTGCTGCCATCGTTGCCTTCACACAATCGACCGTCTCTTGGTTTGCTGTTCTTCCTCACTCCTGTGGGCATAATTGTTTGTGGGTCCCCTGACCTTTCTGACCTGGAGTTTTCCTCTTCCTCTCACTGCCATCTTTCTTCAACACCTAAAGCCTTTCAGCAAACCCAACTCAACCTATTGTGGCATTGTTCGTGTATTAATGTACACCTTCGCCCCTCCTGGCCACCTCAAGCGTCAACTCAATCCTAGTCGTGGCCCATTGTTTTCAATTCAAAGTTGTAATTCGTACCTTTCTAGAGTTATCGTTTTTCAGCACTCACCTGTCGATCCTTCTACGAATGCAGTGCAGCTATTGTCATTCATAAGGAAATTTGAAGAGATTGAGTACAGTGAGCCTGAGGATAAGGTTGTTTGGAGGCCGATTTCAGTTAAGCGGGTACACTGGTAGCGATTGCAGAGGGTGTGCTTTGAACGTGGTTGAGGATAGGAGAGGGAGCTATCACTTGATTTTACGCTGTTGCTGGGAGACTTTAGGGGAGAGCTAATATTCTTCGAAAGCTGCGTATGGTGGTAGCTGTCGCGGAGCGTTTGTACTTTTGAGGAATTCTTGGGTTGTGGATTATTTTTGAGCTGTTCTGGGGATTTCAGAGAAGGAAGTGCTATACAGTGGGTGATGCAAGCTCTCTAAAGTTGATCCCGGAACAAGATTTTCCAATCTGATTGGAAAACTGATGGCCATGGCCGCTCTGTCGTGCACCGGGTTGCCCGTGACGTCCTCATTGGCAGCTTCTCACATTGAATGTAGCACTAGTGCATATTCTGTCTCTAGGGACGTGAAGCCGAGCGCGAGCGTAAGCAGGGCTGCAATGGAGCCGTGCGTTGTTTGCATGCCTCCATCCGCTTCCGCTTCACGTATTCCGCTAGGACTGGGCAAGACGACTGGTTTATATGGCAGTCACAGAATTGAGGATAGGAGCAGATATCGGCTTCAGATTGTGCAGCAGGCTGCGCCACCGACTGTGAGTTTTACAGAGAGGAACTTCATGAAGAACTTGGAGACAGGCACTGTTCCTGAATTATCTGGTACTCAATTCTTTTCTGCCTATTCTCAGCAGCTAGTATTTGAAGTCATTTTGCTCGATCAATAATCATAAGATGGTGAAAAGTGTTGCAGTATTTTTTAACCCGTTGGACACTGTACCGGATGATCGCAGAATTGAGTGCTACAGGGCGGAAGGGTACGAGTGGTGTTGTACCCTCTTTGCCAAAGGTAGACAGCCCCAGAGGAAAGCCAAAATTAACCCTAGCAGATCTTGTAGCTCCCGTTTCAGATGACCTGCAGCTCCTGAACGATAACTTGCAAAAGGTTAATACTCCCAGTTCATTCCTTGTATCGTGAGCTTTCTTTACTTCCTGTACAGATATTGATCTTGAGCTGTAACGACTTTTGATTACAGAGTGCGTATGTTTTTATAAAACAATCATTCACTTGATTTAATAGTGATTGGCATAATTCACTCACCAGTTGTTTTCATGCGGGAAGTTCAGCAGGGAGTTTTCTCTAGGATATTGAATTCTTTGGTTGTATCCAGATTCTAGTTGTTTTTAATCAGAGGCGTTGAATGGAAACTGTTTGTGACAGATTGTAGGTGCTGACAATCCTATGCTGATGGCAGCAGCCAAGCAAATTTTTGGTGCTGGTGGCAAGCGAATGAGGCCTGCTTTAGTATTTCTCGTCTCTAGAGCAACTTGCCAGCTCTCCAATATACAGTATGTTTTTGTCGTTATCCCCTTAACGATCTAGAGTGCTTGTTGGATCCTGGTTATATTCTTTAATCTGTGCCCTAAGCTCCACATTTAGAGAGATCAACGTTCTGAATTATGATGAATAGACATAGAAATAATGCCTTCCAGGGTTTGGCGCCTTTTTTTTTATTATTTTTAAATTAATCCTTTTTCAAATTGAATTTGGTAGCTAACTATTGCCCGCCTGTATGCAGGGAGTTGCGACCACAACATAGACGCTTAGCAGAAATTACCGAAATGATTCACACTGCCAGTTTGATCCATGACGATGTTTTAGATGAGAGTGATACAAGGCGTGGTGGGTACTTCCTGTCTGACTTTATGACTCTGGGACAATGAATTATCGACAACTACATCCTAGACGCTATCGAATAGAAATTCATTGCTAGCCAGTGTACTGTGATCATACTGAACTCTTTTTTTAAGGTGAACAACGGGTTTCCACTGCAATTACCTCGATGTCATCAGCAGACTAACACAACCTGCTTTCTACAGGCAAGGAAACTGTACATCAAACGTTTGGAACACGAGTTGCTGTATTAGCTGGTGACTTCATGTTTGCGCAGTCATCTTGGTATCTAGCTAACCTCGACAATCTGGAAGTTATCAAACTTATCAGTCAGGTAGACAAATTTTCTTCTTAACCTATTGATCACTTGGGTATCTTTTTTTTTTTTTTTTTTTTCTCCCTGGATTTGGTTGTACTCAAAAAACTCTCTTTGTCTACTTTTCGTTGGGAACAGAATAACAAGGCGCTCTATTCTGCTACTCACTCTCCTCGGATCTTGAAGAGGTGTATTGGGCTCTGGCCTTGGTAATGTCTGATTGTTTTGCAATTCCTGTACTTGTCCTGACAGGTGATTAGAGATTTCGCTAGTGGAGAGATCAAGCAAGCCCAAAACTTGTTTGATACCGAGGTGACACTGCAAAACTATTTAGACAAGAGTTACTATAAGACTGCATCTCTTATAGCCTCAAGCACGAAATCTGCTGCCATTTTCAGTGACTCCACCTCTAGCGTGTCCAACCAAATGTTCGATTATGGGATGCACTTAGGTCTGGCCTTCCAAGTAGTGGACGACATTCTGGACTTCACACAAACATCAGAGCAGCTGGGGAAACCCGCTGGGAGTGACCTGTCCAAAGGCAACCTCACTGCACCCGTTTTGTTTGCATTGGAGAAAGAGCCTGAGCTGCGGGAGCTAATCGATTCCGAATTCACCGAAGAAGGGTCTTTGGAAGCCGCGATTTCTCTTGTGCACCGAGGCGGTGGCATTGACAGAGCGCGTGCGCTCGCCCAGGAGCAAGGCAATCTGGCGAAAAAATCCCTGGAATGTTTGCCTCAAGGAGACACCCGGCGATCGTTAGAGAAGATGGTGGATTATGTCTTGGAGCGTATATACTAGGAGCGTGTGAAGAACTAATTTGATGACTTCCCTGGTTAATTTTCCATCTGTAACAATAGTTTGATCCCCCCCCCCCCATTTTTTTGTTTTTTTTCCTACCTCCACTTCCCATTTTCTTTTTTTCTTTCTTTTGTGTAACTTAAATTCATTGGTTTTGCCAAAAGGCAGCGTGTCACCAATATAAGCACACGGTATAACCTCGACAGACGACCTGATTTCCTGCGTTCAATGCATCGTTATAATATCACTGGGATTAACGCTATCTTCTGCTGCTGGGTTGGTTAGCGATGGGAGAGCAGTTGAAAAGAGTTTATCTCTTGGGTCTTCCCAGCAGCGATCTATTCTCGTTCGGATAGATTTACTCAGCATTTTTCAATCAAAAAGAAACTTTCTTGTCATCCCAGTTCACTCGTGTGTCACAAAAACGAGGATCTCTAGCCTCATAGTTATATTCGTTCTCGTTGGAGAGATGTGGACTCGCACCCAGTATATGGGATCAAAGTGCCTGTATATTTGTGCTAGATTTTTTTACTATTAGTTTCACGTAGCATGACTTGATCACGTCCATGTCTAGGTGCTAAGCATGCGTGCGACCATTATTATTATTAATATATAACATTCATTAACCGTCCATAACCGTTTCCATGATCATGCACTCTTGTTATACTTTGCTACAGAATGATTCTTCATATCTGCAACCTGACTCGCATAGAGATATTTAACCTAAGAACATAAGTGATTTTGAACATGTTGACACGCAATCTAACGAAGTGGTCCTGAGGTGAGAGCTGCCGGACAGGAATCATGAAAAGAACTGTTTCCAAATATCTGGATCACAAACACGTAGCGCTCCCTTACCGAATAAAGTACAGTTCCCGACAGGATCAATGACAAGGTGTTGCGTGGCACACGACTTCACTCATCCCGTATCATCTGGAGGACTTCGCCAGTAATCATTGTGATACAAAATAGATAAATAGATAAATAAATAAACTAGATCAAGTCATAGCAATTATTTCCAGAACAAATACAGCTTACAGTTGAAGTAACGGTATTAAAACCCGGAAAGATTACACCTATGCGTAGGGAAAAGAAGTGATTACAATCCTCAGAGATGTGATGTGTATTTACAACCAGAAATAGCTTTATTTGAAGTTGAGAGATCAGAAGTAATCTCTTCAAGTAACAAGACAAACTGGCATTTCAACTTACAAATTGCTGATTGAAAGGACACTATTTTGTTTTTTTTTTTAAAGATATATATATTTTTTATCTAATTAACTGTACAGATACGAATTACATGAAACGGCACCTTGGGGCTGGTCCGATGAGTTGGATCACGAATGCTCCCAGAATCAGGCATTGCTCAAACGAAGTCTCCATAGTTGCCCTCGTCTTGATTGTGTCGAGAGATCCTTGCACTGAGAGCACTTGGATGGTCGTCATGAACACCAATGAACTCCAGCAAGTTCAAAGTTATTACTTAAACAAAGCCTTCGCGAGCAAGTAATACATCAAATTCCAATTTCATTGAGATGTAGTGGTAACCGATGCATGTGTGAACTTTTCAGGGAGTGACAGGATGAAATACCGAAGATCCCTGACTGAAAGAATTTCTTCGAAGGAATGTTGCTAACTCATCCAATTCTGTGTATTTACACGGCGATTTCAGCCCCTACTAAAGACCAATCGTCTTCCCAATCGCCCAGGCTAGACTTATCGGCGTCTGAGAGCTCAATGCCTGACCAGCTGTCGGAACACTCCGCCACACTTGACGGTGAGCACTCTGATTCAATTTCAGTTTTGAACACCTCGAACTCGTTCTTGAAGGTTTCGAAATCTGGTGCTTCGGCACCGATGCTGTCACCATCGCAACCTTGAAGAGTACCGTGCGATTCGCGTGCTTCCTGACTATCGAGGAGTTCCTTGTGAGCCTCCTGACGCACTATTTTGTCTTCCGAAGCCTCTTGGATGTGCTCCAAAGCAATGTCAAGCAGAACAGAGATCGAGAGATCCCATCCCTCCGCCTCCTTTCTGTAATTTCCACCATCTTTAGCTTCAACATCCTCATCATCGGATGCCCAGTCCGTATCAGCATCCCATTTCAGACCATGCCGTGCGATTTTGCGGGAGACATTGCGACGAGAAGAAAGCGAAGAAGGTTTGCACACGCGCCAATCAGACAGCAGATGAGTGCTGGGAATATCAGACACGAGTCTCTTGATCCTTCCTTTGCCCTTCCCTCTCGATTTATTTAAGGGCAGAGAATCGTGACACTTCAAGCATCCAACAACCTTACACTTTCCCGTCAATCTGGAATGATTTGTAGGTTTGCCAGAAACACGACCTTCCCTCCTCATACTGCCTCTGCGTCTATTTCCGCGCCGCACTGCCCACACCTTGTTCTGGTTCCTAGCTTGCCTCTATCCGTCACACAGTCCTTCGGACAGAAAAAAAATAAAAATAAAAAAGGCTGCAGATAAGGTAGCGACACTACTTTGGGACGATACAATCGTGCTTGATAATCAGAATAGAATTGAATGCAGCAATTTAGCGCAAATTTACAACGACTTCTTAACATCAAAAAACATTGAGGGGGAGGGGAGGGTGGCGGCGGGTGGGAGAGAGAGAGAGAGAGAGAGATGGAGAGAGGGACAGAGACAGAGACCAAATAAAAACCAACTCAATAAACAAAATTAAGGATAAAGCGTATCAAGGTTGTTGACGCCGCGACACCTATCTTTCACGAGAAGTCAAAGAAGACTTCTGGAAGACGTAGCGCACACAAAGAGCACCAGAATTAAGCGGCGGAATCTTACGTACACATACACGTTATTAGGTGTAATGCGATATCGCCAACATTACATGACCGCACGAAGTTGCTTGGAACAGCAAGCTTCGCCACAGTCACTAGTAGTAACAGCTAATCCTGCTTCGCTTGCAAATTGCACTTGCAATCCCTGATTGTGTCACAGCCTTCCTCTCCAATTGCGTGGGATTCAAGAAAGTGAGGAGCGTGTAGCGGGCTCCAGCCTTAACTTGTCAGTTTGCAGTTACAGCGTCTCCAAATGGCATCCACAGCATCACATCGAAGTTTGACTGTCCGCAGTGTGCCTTCAAGTCATCTCTCTCCCACTATTGCAGCACCTTCCGCATAGTTGGATGCCACTCCGGGATTCCTTCTCACCGTTGCCATTCATCGAGCTTCCCTGTTTTAACCTCTCAACTAACTTACGATCAATCTTTGATTCAATTCTGAATCCACTGTGTAACGAGGAATTCTCTAATTATAGATAAATTGAGTGGATCGTCGACATTACCGATGCATAAATAAAAAGCCTGACGGGAATTAACCGAAGTCGATTTCAGAAAAAAGGAAAAGAAAACAAGTGCTTAGTGAATTCACATGCAACAAAGAATATAAGGCAGTTGCCACTAGTTAATCCCAAAACATGAGGAGACCGTAATCGCTCTTCTTCAAGCATTTCCCCGAACGTAGTCCAAATCCTTCCAAATTTCCGCCACTTTTGACTGAAATGCGACCAATTATCAGAGAAAGTCGATAGTTATTAAGAGGGACAAAAAAAAATTCTGACAAGGAAGACCACATCGGTGAAGAGAAAAACTGTTCCCAAGAAATGTACCGAAACGTCGGGTAAATTGGTGGAATACGTCGTTCAATCTGATTCAAAGCCTCCCGATCGGGCGAAGCTCCAATCGCGATACTCCGCTGAATGATTTTACATGAAACCGAAACGCACGATCCAATCAAATCACTGGCCGTCGGTTACGATGGGGTGCAATCAGTTTGTGGCCACTTGAAACTTTCATGTACGTGGCGTAACTTCACACCAGCCTAAACTCTTACTTCCAGCAGCTTCAGATGGAAAACTCTTCGAAGAATTGGCCTTCAATCCGGCTTCAAGTTTTGTTAGTGTCATTTGAAGGGTCACCTCTCCCGTGGCGCCATCGCAGTCATCTGAATCATCGGTTGCTCAAGCATAGCCGCGTTAATTTTGCAAAGGTGCCGCTGACTTAGCGTCGACCTACGTAACTCTCGCCCTTCGACTGCCGGATCAGCACAGCGAAACTTCTCCTACATTTTGACGTTTTAAGCGGATGAGGAACCAGTTACTTTTCGATACGTCGACATTACTCGGGAATATTCTTTATAGATTGTTCATTCTGGAATGAAGGCCTGCATGTGCCATGGACAAGTCCCCATCCGAGGGGGTCAGAACCCGCGCTAGAACTCAATTAGGAATTAATCAATCAGGGAGGCATATTCCCTTCTAGAGCTCCTGATGATACGCATATTTTTATCGAGACTGGATTGATGAATGATAAATCTGAATTTGGATGAATGTCGCGGTACATCCTCTGGACTTATAATGTACCGTTGTAGTCTGCCACCTGTACATGAGTATCCGTTAAACACTGGCGGGTATCAATTGCAGCGCCGGATAGTCTACCATGAATAAAACATAATGTTCATGGTTTTAATTTATTTTTATTTAATTTTTTGTGTGGACATAGTTGGGTTATGTTTGTTGCTTTGATCAATAAATGGAGCAAGAGAACAAGATTACTTATGCTCTAATATTTCTTCAAAGCAAACTTACAATTATAAATCATGATACAATGTGGCATCCAATATATTTGAGTAATCTTCATATGATATGTATATGATAAGACCATTGCAAGAAACATTATTGGAACAATAAATTGTCATCTCTTTTCTAATTTTTAATAATCTTTTCAAATCCATGACTTGTTTCATCATCTTATAATTGTGTATACTTGGTTATATTATTTTTGTATTTTTGTGCACATGTTTTTTCATATCATGCAACTATATTTAAGAATATTAGACCAAATAGTTTGTCTTATTTTTGCATCACTCCATTTTCTTATTTTAAAGATCAAAGCATTTATTTGCATTCAAATAATCTATCTGCACATTAGCCAAGATCTTTTAAGTTTAGAAGGTCTTTAATAGTGAAAATAGCTTGTTCCTAGAAAAAGGTCTTTTACAATTTTTATCTATATTTATAAGATCTATTTTGTGTAGAAAAAAAAGTGACTTGACTTTGTATTTTACAAGCTGATATGAAATAGAAAAATTTAAAATGAATTGTTTAATTTATACAAGAGATATAGAGGATACATTGAGAAGATATGTTTAGGTTGACTTATGCTCTTTAAGTATTAACTACTATCCTTTTATGCCAGATTATTTATATTAATATTATTTGCCATCTAAGATTGAGCTTGATTCAAAAAATTCTAGTCAAATTAAAAATCTTAATTTAATTTTTTTCCATTGGAATGGGATTAGATTTTAGGTCTTTTGTAATCTCTTTAAAAGTGGTGATCCAAAAAAGGTTGAATATATCATCAAGTTTAAAATAAGATCTTAATAATAGATTTTGGCATCAAAAAAATAGATCATCTATTAAGCCATAAAAGATTTTAATCACCTTTTTTTTTTTTTTTTTTTTTTTTCTCTTCTTCTTTCAATTAGATAATTTTAGCTATTCTATTTTTTTATTTTTTATTTTTTAAAATAATTTCTTCTTTCTTTTTACAATTTTTTTATATTAATTAATTAAATAATTTTATATTTAAATAGAACATTATCAATTTGATCCCAAATTTATATATTAATTTTTTAAATATTTTGAATAACTTAAATCATATATTTTTATCAGATTTTTGTATTATATTATATGATTGAATTATTATTAAGATATTTCATTTATTTTATAAAATCCTAACCAAATTTAATTTCTTAGTAACAATATGCCTAGATTCAGTATATGATACTAATATTTAGAAAAAAATCTAATATATTTCTAAAATTAGTAATATCATATCTCCAAATTAAACTTTTATTTTTGTTTTTTAAAATTTTATAAATTTTTTTTTCTTTAACCTATTATAATCTTCTTTTCAGGAAGTAACAAAAATTACAATATATATATATATATATATATATATATATATTTAATAACATATTCTTTTAGATTCTACTAAATAAATTATTCCAAAGCTTAAAGAATTTTTTTTGGAGATTTCTATTTCAAGTGAGAAGTCATCATATTCTATGTTCTTCTTATCTTAGATCTGATATTTGTTTCAAAAGGTCAATTATTTTAATGGGTAAAAATCTATTTATGATTTGGTCACCATTTCTTTATACTTATTAAAATTAACTTCATAAGTTTATTATTGATAAAATTTTAAGTCTTCATATCTTAGATTAAGAAGCTGTAATTGATTTTTTAGAAAGTAAAGCTATTACATCTATCTTTGAATTAATCAAATCTCTATCTAATTTAACTTTAGATTTGTGGCTAATATTTTAAGCTAAATTGGCCCTAATTAGTCATTTCATGTTATTTTGTATGAATTTATTAATTATTTCATTGAATCTCATTATAACTTTTAAATAAATTATTTAGATATAAAAAAAGAAGTATAAGAAGACAATATAAGATTATTAGCCAAAATATTTATGTACATTATATTAATCTCTATCGGATATTAATAATAAAATTTATTTTTATAATTGGTAATAAAAACAATGAATATTTTTTGTAATGAGAGATATTTCAAAGACTGTGACAAATAGTGTATTAGATTTTCTATCATTTTCTTATACCTTGCTAAAAACCCTTGCTTAAAAGAAATTAAAATATTTTTATATTTTAAAATATGAAATATAATTAAACCAATTGATCCCTATGTCAAATGCTTAAATAATTTTTTGTACACTTCACAATATATTATTATTTAATTCTTCATTTCTATAAACAATTAAAATTTAATCATTTGCATATTGGCTCAGAGTTTGTCAGTCTTTACTGTTGGATAGTAAATCTTCTTATATTTTTATTTATTCGATCACTCTTTTTGTTTCCAAAGTAATCACATTGCAAATGATGAGACAAAACCATCATAAAAATAGACATCTTGGTCTTATACTTTTTAAAATAATGTATTTATTTTTTATAATTATATATATAGATTGTGAGGTTTATTCCTTTAAAATATAGATCCTTTTATTTAAATAATAAAAATAAATTAAAATGGATGTAGAATCATATTTTTTATATTTCTAAATAAGTTTTATTTATTTATTTATTATTTATTATTTTTTTTATGATACTTCATTATAAGTATTTAAAAGTCATTTTAAGCATTCACAAGGATATTTTTGATTTTAGAGCATAGTTAATGATTTCTTGGATTATTATTAAATTATCAAGAATACAAAATTGTGATGGAATTTTATATAGTTTAAATCACTGATTTCTATGAGATTTTCTAATAATTGTTTTTGAAGTGTTTTGGTATATATCTTTTAAAAGTATTAGGATAGGATAATAAGTCTTCAATAGCTTAACATCGTTCTTTATACACAACCTATAAATTTAGAATGTGCCTTCAACATGTAATTATTTTAGTTATTTTTTAGATTTTTTTGAAAATAAAATATAACATTTTTATTTATGGTTTGGAATTTCTAGAATATGTTATCATCATTTAACTTGTTAATAATTCAAATTTTGATTTGGTACTTTATGCAATGCTATTTCTTTATAGCAAGGAAATTAAATAATTCTATATTTATATTAGATTTTATTTAGATTGGCTTATATTTATTTTTTTCTCATTGATTTTTTGTTTATGTATGACTAACTATAGAATATTTAAATGTATGTACAGTAATTAAAATTGAGTTTTTGAGTTATACTAAAAGAATATTATACAAAACATCATATGTACATTAGACATATGATGTTTATAATGTAGTATGTGCTCTTAGATTCTATCCATTGTTACTGATGTTCTAATTTATTTCTTAAATAATTCTACTAGAATAAAATAATCATTGTTCATCATATTTTTTTAGTTCATTTTGGTTTAATTGATTGTATCTTTAATTGTAAAGTCCCTTTGTCTACTATCATAATATTTTTGTTTTTATTCGTATGTTAACACCTCTTTATATCTCTTTTTTTTTACATTAGGATTTTTGTTTGTATCATATAGTCTCTTGTAGCTGTTAATGTAATCAGTAGTATCTAAGATAAACCTATGTCTAATTAGAAGGATATTTTTATCTATAAAGATTGATTTCTTATTTGAAATAAGTTTTATAGCTTAAATATCAATTTTCTATTTATAACATATATTTTATGCTATTTAAAATCTTATGTCTTAATGTCTTATAGATTTTTCTTAGATATTCGATACCATAATAATAACAATTATTTTCAATGACTAATTTAGATTGGCTTTTATTTATAAAACAAACTATACAAACTTTTTATGTAAGTTACACCTTTTAATATAAGATAGGTTATAGTTTTAATTAATTTTATCATTAAAAAAATTTTAAACTCTAAATTTTCTTGAAATCAAACTTAAGTATCTATGCTTGATATAGATACATTACTACAAAGATTTGGTATAGAAATAAAAAATATTTTTTTAAAATTTTTATATATTCCAAAAAAAATTATTCTTTATTTTTTTTCTTTCTTATTTTTCTTCAAATATTTTAACATAGTAATACTATTTATTGCAAAAAAAATTAATATATTATTTTCTATCAATAAAATATGTAATCACTACACAAATGAACACATAGTCTATTTTAGCATAGACAATACCTTTAATAACCTCTACTATGTAAGATGAAGGCCTAAATAAAACTTGACATATTTAATTGGAAATCTAATTAGATTTGTTAATATTGAATATGGAATGTTGGCTTGGATAGATGAGGGAGTTAGTTCATTCTTGATGGAAATTATTAATTGGATTGCAATAAAGTGAAGTAATATGAAGGCTAGATTTATTCTCCATTCTTGACATGAGTAGAGATTGAAGAAAGGAAGGAAGGAAGGTATTGAGGCATAGGCATAGACACATAGTGGGCATGGAGGTATATTGTTTGGAGAAGGTCTAGTATAGAGCAAGCACATTAGTGGTCGTGGGATTAAACAGATTTTGTTAAGATCCGCAAAGCACTGCTGAAGTTGGAAACCACTATGAAGTATTGTAAGTCTAATAGTAGAATAATACCTTGCCATAATATATACTTGGATTTGATTCTTGG